CTTAACCAAGTTAGGGCGGCTGCATCATAATATAATTTCAAATTAGGTGCCTTAAGTCCCCCTCTTTCTCGAGCATCCTGTAATATCTTAAATTTAACCCTTGGTTTCTTCCCGGCCCATATAAAATTATTGATACCCTTTTGCCATTCCTCCAAATTTGCCTCTTTTTTAAGACTAGGTATCATCTGAAACAAAAAAAGAAACTTTGGTAGAACATTCATTTTTACAGCTGAAATTCTCCCCAACAATGACAATTGCAATTTTTTCCAATCTCTTAAATCCTTTTGGACTTTTGCCCATAGTGGTTCGTAATTGTTCTTATACAATTTTCCATTTGAAGCAGTTAGATATACTCCCAAGTATTTAACCTTTTTTACCATCTGAAAACCTGTGGCTTTAATCAAACTTTCCCTTTCTTTAACTGACATATTCTTAGATAATATCTTAGTCTTATAATTATTAACTTTAAAACCAGAAACATTCCCATACTGTGTTATAAGTTCTAATAAACCATCAATCGCCTGGTTCGGTTGTCCCAAAATTAAAACCAAATCATCCGCAAATGCCCGCAATTTATACTCATTCTTCCTTATCTTTACACCCTTAATTAACTTCGATTCCCGAATCTGAATCAATAAAATTTCCAATGTTAAAACAAATAACAATGGGGATAATGGACATCCTTGTCTTGTCCCTTTTTGAATATTAAAATTCTCAGTCAATCCCCCATTTACAACAATTTGTGCAGATTGCTGCTGATATATAGCTTTAAGTGCATGTAAAAAATTATCCCCAAAATTCATTTTCTCTACCAAAGAAAATAAAAATTGCCAGTCCAATTGATCAAAAGCTTTTTCAGCATCCCAAAAAATAAAAGCCACAGGAATCTGATTATTCTTATCCAAGTACTCAATTAAGTTAATAATTTGTCTAACATTATGTTTCATATATCTCCCTGTTATAAATCCTGCTTGATCACTATGAATCAAGTCTTTCATAACCTGCATTAATCTATTTGCCAAAATTTTTGTAAAGAATGAAATTGGCCTATAATTCTTAGGCTGTGTAAGATCCTGATCTTCCTTCGGAATCAGTGATATAAAGGCTCTTTTCCAAGAAGGAGGAACTTGCATACCCAACAAAATACTATTAAAGAGTTCCTTTAATGGCTCTATCATTTCTTCAGATAAGGTCTTATAATACCTAGAAGTCAGTCCATCTGTTCCAGGAGACTTTCCAACCTTTAACTGCTTAATAGCTAAACCAATTTCCTCCACAGTAATTAAACTATTCATCCCATTTTGTTGTTCCTCTGAAAGTCTAGGAAAATGTACTGATTGTAAATATTTATCTATATCCAAACCCCTTATATTATCACTTGAATATAATTTTGTGTAAAAGTCCAAAAAGCTTTTTCTAATCGTATCTTGCTGAAAAACCTCAGTACCTTTATATTTTACTTTCTCTATAATTCTACCTTTCTGTTTCTTTCGTAACTGATAAGCCAACCACCTCCCAGGCTTATTCGCATTGCAAAAAGTATTATATCTCATATATGACAGATTGGTAGCCACCTGATCTGCCATCAACATGTTAAATTGTTCCTTAAGCATCTTTATAGATACCTTTAAATTATTATCAGTAGGGTTAAGAACCAATTCTTGTTCTTTTGATTTGATCTCTTCTTCTATTTCTCTATGTCTTTGTGACCTTTTTTCCCTAAAAACTTTATTCAATTGAATCAGAATTCCCCTCATATATGCTTTACTAGCGTCCCACACCATAGACATCGATGTTCCCTTATTCATATTTATAGTAAAAAAGTCCTTTAAATGTTTTGTACGAACTCCTCCTGATTAAATAAGTTCTCATTCAGTCTCCAGGATCTTCTCTTCCCGTCTTCCGAATATAACTCCATCCACACAGGACTATGATCTGACAATGTTCTAGGAAAAATTTTCACCTTCCTCACTCTAGGGAGGAAGTCACTAGTAATAAAAAAAAAATCAATCCTTGAAAATGACTGGTGTCTATCAGAATAAAAAGTAAAGTCTCTATCACTTGTGTTCCTTTCTCGCCAAATATCAATAAGCTCCAGTTCTTCCTTCAAATCAAAGAAAGTCATAGGTAGTTTAGTTTGAATAAAAGTTTTAGAGGAACTTCTTTTGTCTATAGTTGGGTCTAAAACCCTATTCCAGTCACCCATCAAAATTACTGATTTATAATCCAACTGAGATATCTTGCCATGCAGCAGCTTGTAAAATTGTTTCTGTTGTTGATTGGGAGCATATAGTCCAACAATAAGAACCTTTCGGCCTTGTAATAATAATTCCACAAAAAGATATCTTCCTTCAGAATCAGCCTCAATTAATTTAGCTGAAAAAGTTTTCTTCACATAAATTACCACTCCCCCTTTTTTCCCAGGGGCTGGAGCAGTAAAATGCGTGCCCAGACGGGCATTCATCAAGAATTTAGAATCCTTTAAAGTTATATGAGTCTCCTGCAAACATATCAAATCATTATTATGTTGTTTCAAATAATGGAAAATCTTTCTTCGTTTCTGTGGCACGTTTAAGCCATTAACATTCCAGGTCAGGAACCTGACCATCTCCACCGGCCTGGAGCCTCTGGAGCATGGCCTGCAGATCTGCTGTCGAAGATCTTTTTGGTCTTGCCCCTCCCACAGGCTCTGTAACAACCAAACTTTCACCACTCTTCTGCAACTGCTCTTTTTCTTTACGTTTATGGGCAGCTCGTGTCATCCTTTGCTCTTTTATGTCAGAATTCTGTGCAGCTTGTTCCATAACCATCATTGATGAGGCTCTGCCATATCTTGCTTTTAAGATAGACTGATAAAAATCTCTTGCTTTGGAAACAGTAGTTAATCTGTGATGTATCCCTTCATAATTTACTATTATTCCTCTTGGAATCTCCCATCTGAACTGAATTTGACGATGTTTCAGCTCATCAGACAAGAAAGTAAAATCTTTTCTGGCTCTTAAAATTTTTGGAGGTATCTCTTTTAAAATTATCACATCTTGATCAGCAATTTGAAACTTTTGTTTGTAAAAAGCCTGTATAATTTCATTACGGATAGATCTTCTAGAAAAATAAATAACCACATCTCTTGGTAGATTTCTCTGTCTAGCAACCCGTGAATTAACTCTAAAAATTTTTTCTATCTCATTCTCAATTATTTCAGGCCGCCAGCCAATATTAGGAGCAATATCTTTCACAATAAGCATCTTTAAGTCTTCCTGAGGGTTCTCCCTCAGGCCCTGATACGCAATGCATGTTCCATCTCCCTCTATTGTGAAATGATTTGTTCATCCTGTGTAATTTCTATCTTGTTCTCTACCTCCTGCATTCTAAATTCCATCCTTGATGCATTTTCAGTAATCTTTTCCATCTGGTCATCAATCCTCTCTATGTGCAGGGCTAAGCCCTGAAAGGCCAGAAGGATATGGTCTCTTACTTGTTTGTTCTTTTTCTCCAATAATTCTTCTGTATTAGCCCTCTCTGCAATTATAAGATCTTTTACCTCCTCCTTAATATCCAAGGCATGCTGTTTTAAAGCATCTTGTAAATCATTAAGAGAAATTGCAGGAGGAGGAGGAGAAGGTGGAGGTGATTTTGGTTTCTGAGATGCAGGCTGAGGCATTGGAGAAGAAATAGGAACCTTAGGGGCGGGAGGCAGACATTTTGAAGCCATTTTCTTAAGTTCCAAGAAGAAAGATTCTTATTGGAAAAAAAAGAGAAAAAGAAAAAAAAAGGGCACAATTCTTTTAAGTATTCTTAGAAAAAAAAATAGAGAAGAAAAAGGAGGAAAGAATAAAAGCCAAATTCTTACTTCTGTATTTAAAGAGTTAATCTGTATCCAGGTTTTACTTTGTAATGCAAATCAGGCAAGAAAGACGATCGCCATTTTACTTTTCACTTTCCCTTTCTTCTAAAGGGAAAGTGAACAAAAGAAGAGGAAGAGGAAACTTGCTGAAGTTAAAGGCACCATCAAACTTGAGCACAGTCTCTCCTGGTCTGCTCCGTCTGCTTTCAAATACTCACAAGCAGCTGGAAAAAAAAAGCAGATGTGGAAGCGGCAACTTGCTTCATCCCAAAAGCTTCGGAATGAAGTCTCCCTGGAACACGGAGTTGCTCAGGCTCCGAGGGAGCTCTACCCTCCGATCCCCAAAATAACAGGGATCCAGGGGAGCTCTTACCTCTACCTGAGAGCTCTCCCCCTCCCTTTTTCCCAGGGAGGAGATTCAAGCCGCGGGACAGCTGATTGTCAAAGTCCCGCGGCTTTTACACGCACCAGGAACGGGCGGCTTTGTAAAACGCCGCCATTCGTCGTCGCTGGAACCACCGGAAGTGGATGCAAATCACTCCTGAAAAATGTTGCCAAAGACTTCCCCGTCCAATCACCAGGAATCCAGATTGACTTGAAGGCACGCGCACACACACACACACACACACACACACACCCCGAAAATGTTATGATGCTCAGTTTTTTTCAGATTTGCTATAGTTGAGAGAGATGGAAAAATGATAAAACAGAACAATTTGTTAACAAATGTAATATTGTCTACAGGCCCAGGTATTCCACCTCACCAAATTTGCTGTGTAGGATTTGGAAGAGTATTTACTGTATACCTTATTTCAGGGGTGTCAAACTACCGGCCCACGGGCCAGATGCATCACATGGAAGCCGGACCCACCCCATTGCCGGCAATGGCAAAACAGGCCCAATACATTGCGCAATGTCACGTGATATCACGAGTTTGACCTGCCCACCTTATTTACATGCAGGGGAGTAGAAAGAATAAAGTGGTTGTACAAACCCATCTCTGCTCATGCCCTGTTGGCTATAGCCCTACATTTTGAATTCCACTATAAAATTCTGTTTCTATATTGTGTAGAATGGCTCAATTTTTAGGAATCTTTCCAAGATTAGTTCTTACTAGCAGTCTTTATTTCGCGGAAAGGAACAGTTTTGGCACTGGTTTTTTTTTCAAGTTTACAAATACAAAAGTCCTTGAGAATTATAATCAGTTTAATAGATTTTCTCTTCATTTACACCATGGTCATTAAGATATTACTAGAGCATGTAAAGTATTACTCCAGATTTCCTTTTTTGATATACTGCTAACTAAAATTTAACTGGTTTGTTCCTCCTGAAAACCCAAGGGAACAAACTATAAGATTTTATTGCTGGTGAACATAAAGTTATCTTCATCCAACAGAAAGAACACCCACATATTATACTTTTATAATCTTGGGCATTTACATTTTATATTAATATTTCCATTCTTATGCATACAGACATCAATATTCTGGATTAAGCTGGCTGTTTATTCATTGATGATTTTATATGACAAATTCTGCTGTAAAAGTATAAAAAGAAACTCATTTGGAAAAATTGAGTATTTGGGGAGGAAGGATAATTTATTTATTTTATGAACCTGAAATAACCAAACCCAGTGGCTGATTGTGAAAACTCCACATAAATTATTGAGCATAGAGACAGAATTATGCCTCATGATGAGTATGATTCAACATATTTATACCAATAGGCACCTGCTTTTCAATTTTGTGATGTTTTATAAGATCAGGATTTGAGATGTGGTTATTTCTTAAAAGTAAGAAATCCCAAAAATAAGATGCTAGGTTTCAATAGAATGTTGATCTCATTCATTATGGCAACTTTATAGTAGCACCACTGGGGAGTAGGATTAGCAAATGCATGGACTTAATGATCCTATGCAGTCAATACTGTATTGGGATTTATTTAAGATTACTCAGCAAATGAAGAATCATTTTTAATGTTGTCTAAAAAATTTTTCAATGGGATCTATAGCTTATCTTGCAAAAGATTTTTCACCTCATGATAACTCAGAATTTACAAATTAAAATTTGTGCAACTGTTATTTCCTGAATGAATAACAGTAAGCAACCATCACAAGACTACAGCAAAAGGACTTTCAGATTGATTCCATGGTAGGATCTGAAGTATTTTCCTTAAATTATACAGTACTTACCAATCTGTTTGGCCTCCATAGATTTGTAAGGCCATTGATATAAGTGGTATTTCCTGGCCTTTCTAAATGTTTTGTTTTGTATTCATATCAAGCTTTTTTACAGATTACTAGGAAAAAAGGAATATCTGACATTTACTATCTTTGTAATTTTTGCACTGCTGTAGCAGTGTCATGTAGTAATATTTTTAATGACTAATTGGCAGTTCTTTGTGGCTCCTATTGCAAATATTCAATAAATGCAAGGAACATTTGGAAAAATCTAGAAATATTGCAATAAGAGCCTCAGTTACACAGTATATATTTGCAGTAAGAGCCTCAGTTACACAGTATATGTTTACAATTAAGATTTAGATTCATTTGCCCAGAATTTCTAGATACTAATTTAGTAGAAAATCTGGTTCTTGATAGCCAAAAAGATTAAAATCTCCTTCAAAGCGGGCATAAAGGCGCCTTATGTCTCTCTTGCTTATGCCTGAAAAATAATGTTCCACTTTTGTTTTGTTATATATCGTTATGCCTGGAGGAATTGTAGGATAAGATACCAGATGGTCAATTCCTGCTTCCTTTAAGATGTACGCTGCATCTTCTTCCAAAGTTTCATGATGTCCAATTACACTATATGTTATTTCACAGGGGGCACATAGTTCAACATAGGTTACCCAATGAATTATATGATCTCCAAATTGTATATCTAACCATCGATGATTTGGATCACCTAGGTAGCGCACGAAGTCCTCAAACTGTAGTCCTTTAGTCTCAGTGCGATTCTTTCTATATTTTCGAATAATTCCAGGAGCAATTTCATGTCTATACCAAGGTTCAAATCTAGGATTGTGGACAAATTTATCCTTAAATGCAGAAATAAGCCTCTCAAAAGGATCTCTTACGATGAAGAACTTGAAATACAATTTCAATCTAAATGGAAAACATAAGCAAAAATAATTGTAGATAGTATTTTAAAATTTACTGATAATTCAGTTTAGAACAGTGCTGATTTGCCCATGTTCCTCTCTTAATGACTACAGTAGCAAATGATGTGCAACTGAGGCATCACATGGTGACTTTACGAACAGGTTAAATTTACTGTTAGGGAAAATTTAAAATTTTGCTGTTAAGCATGTTTGCACACTATTCAGCTGAGAAATCTGCAAAAATTAAGATCTTTGATTGCTTCCAGTTATGTCCATCTAATGACAGGATAGTATTATAGAACAGATGGTATTATAGAACAGATGGTCCTACCTTAATGATGTAATTGGGACTGGCAATTCATGACCATGTTGACTTAAGCACAGTTGCAGCAATTTCAGTTGCTGTCATGAAGTGACTTTCATTTGGTTGCAGCATCCCACAGCCATTTGCAACCTCCTGCCAGTTTCTCTATTGACTTTCCTTGATGGAAGTTAGCAATGAAGGTCACAAATGCTGTGATCATTGGAATTGCAAGCTGATTGCTAAATCAGTCATAATCACATGATTGTAGGACACTGCGATGGTCAATGGTCGCAACTGTTAGGAACAGTTGTAAATCCCCTTGTTCATCATTACCATCACTTTGAATGGTTACTGAAATAGTACAATTACTATTGTAATTGGTTCCCAGACTGATAAAAACTGCTAGCTTCTCCATTTTAAGTAAAAGATTTACCACTTTGCAGGATTACAGGAAGGCTCTTAGAAAGGAAATTAAGGTGTTTGTATATATCATGCAGGTATCTATTGGTTCTAAATGTAGAATAATTTAGTTGTTGAAATTCTTACAACACTATCCTTTTCTTCTCAATAAATCTTATTAAAGAGAGCTCCTTGAGAATAATGTTTGGAAAGAATCAAGGCATTGTTTGGCCACTGGTAGGCAATGGCCAAAGAACCTGATAGGAATCTGTCAGCAGGATTTACTCATTGTTGTATGTTCTGTTCAAAGAAGTGCAGTCAACTTCTATCACTGAACAGAAATCTGTTCACTCAATAAGGAATGCAGCTGCTAAAATAGCCAGTTATTTTTAAAAAATAGCAAAAAAAATATAGAGAGATGAAATGAAATCGAATTGTACAAATAGTATACTTAAAAGACTATTCAAATTAAATAGATGACAGTATCAACATATTTTTTCTTCTAGTTCTAAGACTATACAGGTAGGTAGTCCTTGCTTAGTGACTGCCTCCTTTAGTGACTTTACAATTATAACAGTGATGAAGAAGTAACTTTATGATCAATCCTCACATTTATGATCTTTGCTGATCTGTAAAGCAAGGGAAAGATGAAGTAAGATCATAAGAAAGTTGTGGTTTCACTTAACAACTGCTTTGCTTAACAACTGAATTGCTGGTCCCAATTGTAGTTACTGAACAAAGATTTCCTGTATTCAAGTTATGTTTCACAGTTATATCTTATTTTTAAGATATAAGATATATTATTAAGATAGCAAATGCTATCAAGGCCAGTTATAAATATCATTTATTATTAAGAATGATGATTTTTTAAAAACAAAGTAATAACTGTAACCATCACCCGGATGCTTGTTTTCACAGAACTATTGCTTGTAAAGGTCTCTGTGTTTTTGTGTGTAAGGAGAGGCAGCTCTGTCCTGTCTTCCACATGATTTCTTAGAAATCCCAAAGCAGTACTTTATAGCTATACTCTCTTCTAAAGCCAAGATGTGAAATGCAAAATAATAAAAATGGGATTTTGTAGCATACTGGTCTTACTACAATTTTAATGGTTTTTATGTAATTGTGAGCCTGTACAGGGACAGCACAGATCACCATCCAAAGCTATAATACAGGTAGCCCTTAACTTACAACAGTTCATTTAGGGACTGTTCAAAGTTACGACAACATTGAAAAAGTGACATATCATCATGTTTCATCCTTGCAGCATTCCCATGGTCACGTGATTTACATTCAGATGCTTGACAACTGGTTCATATTTATGACAGTTGCAGTGTCCTGGGATAATATGATCCCCTTCTGCAACCTTCTGACAAGCAAAGAAAATGAGGAAGACAGATTCACTAATTTAACAATTGCAGTGATTCACTTAACTGTGGCAAGAAAAGTTGTAACATGGGACAAAACTCACTTAACAAATTTCTCACTTAGCAACATAAATTTTGGGCTCAATTGTGGTCGTAAATTGAGGACTACCTGTACAGCCTTTTCTGATTATTAACTCTATTTAAGAGTCTATGGGAGTGGGCAGCTATAATACATTTAAATAAATAATCATAAACTGCACAAATGATCAAAAATGAGATTTTCATAATGGAAAGAGTTTTCAAAGACAAATTAAAATACTACTTACCTTTTTTTAATTTCAGAATCACTGAAGGAAGATAAGCGTGGAAGACCGTTCTTCTCATGGTCATGCACAATGTTTTCAGGGATCTCACTGATGGAAGGAAAAGCTCCTGAGGAAATAAGTTAGAACTTTCTCTTATAATGGCACCTTTCAGTCCATTCCCATTATGATATACACTAGTGGCTATCATGATTATTTATTTGTTAATAGGTAAAAAGGTAAAAACGGATCAGGTCTTGGTGACTTCATGGAAATGTCCATCAATTAAGTTTGTTGGTACCTACTTATGGTACCTACTTTCTACTTTTCAGTCCAGTCTCCATGTCCTAATAGTGCTATTAAGTTTCTTATCTTCCTACAATCCAGGCCTGAACTCCAGATCGCTCTTTAAAAAATGGAAAGTTCAATGAATTGTTTTCATCATGACTACAAGTTTCCATATAGTAATAATCTAGGGTTTCTGTTCAAAGACTTTGTGTATTGATGTAATCTCTTTCAGCTGTCACCATGCCAGATTACAACGTTCTTTTTGGAAGTTATTTTATCCCAAAGTCTGACCAATTGCTGAATCTTGATCTGCAACAGCTGGATCCAAAAATACAGTGGGTTAGTTGTATTAATTTTTTTAGATATGGGCAGAAAGCCAGATTCCTAATACTGACATGTGATTAGCCAATTCCTTGATTTCATATTACCAACAGAGTTATGTGTAACTCTCCATTACAGCCTTATTCCTGAAAAGTATATTAGCCAGAGTACAAGAATTCAGGTAGTTCAGTAAGCGTGGCCTGTCCTTAAGTCGAAATCCAATATTGTAGAAATCTGTTTGCACACTAGGACTTTTTTTTTCCTTTACTTCTAACAGATCTTGTCATCCTCCTATCTACTCCAAAGAGTTTTCAGTTTTTAAGAAAGACTCGGAGGGACCAGGAATTACCTATTTAGATCCACTGCCAGAAAGAATTCCATCAAGAGAAGACCTTAATTACAATATTTAATTATAGCTCCCAAAATCAATTTTTAAAGCAATATTGTCTTTCACATAATATCTACATGGAATTGAGTTGGACCTGTTTCACCGCCTACTTAGTTTTCTATTAAAGGTGCTACTAAAATAAATTATTACTTTGTTTTATAGTGGTTTCTTGGTGTTCGTTATATTTACAAACTATTTTATTTTTGATTATAATTTGCCCTGAACTAAATGTTACCAATAATTCAAAATGAATTCAATGATAATATGACAACCTAAAGCATTATCTGTTCCTTCTAAGTAGGATAGCTGTTAGACACCCATCTATATCTCTATCTGTCTATCTGAGGTAGATGTGATACTACTCACGTGATTTAAAATAAAAGTGAACAAACATTCTATCAAAGAACCTGCATATATTCCCTGAAGATGGTGTTAAGTTCAAGTAATAAACAATTGCTCAATTCTAAAAAAAATGGATATACACATTTAAACTATTGATTTGTATTAATTCCATGTGTGGAAGCCATCATTTTCTAGTAGAAAACAAAACATGTTGCAAACATTTTTGCAATCATCCTCTTCTCCTCCCTTATCTCCAGGCTAATTTTGATTAAATTTATGCCACGAAGAATCCTGGGGATCTTGAGAGCTTTAAATTAAAGCTTTAAGTTAGTTTAAGGTACCTGTGATACCTTAGTTGTCTAACTTTTAAAGGTTAGCATAAGTTCACCTTTATTAATCCCAGCACATAATAATTTCACAAAATAACCAAGACAGGAAGCCTATTATATATGTAAAGTTCTTTGGGGTGGGCAATGGCACACCTAAGTAGAACAGCTAGAACTAGCCTAGGGTATTTGAAGCAGCTTTCAAACAAAATATAAAATGCCAAAAATAAAAATGTATTCCATTGAATTATATTATTTTTATATTTTGAAATCTTTCTTTGTCTAAACAAACACGCATTTGAGACTTTAAAAGTTAACTAAATACCATTTAAAACAATCAAGACTTTTTTCCATTGAGTATTGCCAACTTTTGGAGTTTGACAGAAGAGGATCTTGTGCTTGTCACATACAAAAATTCGGTCCAAAACAAACTTGGAAACAGTAGTATGGGTGAGGTTTTTCAGAGATGCATCTTGGCAGACATTCCTGAGTAGTTCAAGCCTCTCCATATGGACCAGGCCTTCATGTACGAGGTCTTCAGATAGACTTTTTCCTATTGTCTTGATATAAAAAGGGGTTGGGATGGTAGAAGAGAAGAACAAAAATTATTTTGCATTTCAATGTTCAACTCATACAAGAAAATCTAACATTTTAAACATATACCGGTAGCCCTCAACTTACATCCATTCGTTTAGTGACCATTCAAAGTTATAACAGCACTGAAAAAAGTGACTTAGGACCGTTTTTCACATGACCTTTGTAGCATCCCCATGGTCATGTGATTAAAATTCATATGCTTGGCAACTGGCATGTATTTATGACAGTTGCAGTGTCAATAGGGAAATCAGATTCATTTAACAACTGACACTAACTTAACCACTGCAGCAATTCACTTAACTGTAGCATGAACGTTTGCAAAATAGGACAAAACTCACTTAGCAATTGTCTTGCTTAGAAATTTTGGGGTCAATTGTGGTCGTAAGTTGAGGACTGCCTGTACAAGGTTTTTAAAGGTCAGTATTGCAGTATTACTGTGTAATAATAATAATAATAATAATAAAGGTGGAAGGGACCTTGGAGGTCATCGAGTCCAACTCCCTGCTCAGGCAGGAACCCTACACAATTTCGGACAAATGGCTGTCCGGTCTCTTCTTAAAAACTTCCAGTGTTGGAGCATTTACTGCTTCTGGAGGCAGGTTGTTCCATTAGTTAATTGATCTAACTGTCAGGAAGTTTCTCCTTAGTTCTAGGTTGCTTCTCTCCTTGATCAGTTTCCATCCATTGCTTCTTGTCCTGCCTTCAGGCGTTTTGGAGAATAGCTTGACTCCCTCTTCTTTGTGGCAGCCCCTGAGATATTGGAACACTACCCAATTCCAGCAACGGTTCCTTATATGTTTTAGCCTCCAGTCCCCTAAATCATCTTTATTGCTCTTCTCTGTACTCTTTCTAGAGTCTCTGTTTTGAAATAGCAGCTTCTGTCAAGCTGATGCAAAGTAGTTTGATTTCATCAGCAACAAAATAAAATTTTAGAAATTGAGTGAATTTACAAATAAACAATATACAAACAATATTCTAAATGAAGGAATATTTTTTCCCACCATAGAAAGAAAAAGGAAGATGGTTTTCACTTTACTGATAAAAATAAAGCAAAAAAGTTCCATAGTGTAGTGTTTAAATTTTTTAATTTTAAATTTAAATGAAAAACTGAAGTACAATTTGGAAACTTTTAGAACTTTTAAATCTGTTCTAAAAACTGTTACAGAAAGTGGTACTTCAATTTGTTACTATATTATGTTCAACAGATAAGCCTGCTTAGGAATGTATTCCCGATTATATACAAAAATACAAAATACTGTTGTTTTAAAATATCAACATAATCCAGTAATGTGGTAAAATTTTAACTCCTAAAACAATACCAAAACAGCTTTTAAAAAGTAAAACAGGTCAATTCCTGGACAATAAAGCAAGAGAAAATTGCTTTTGAACAGAGGCACTACAGATGGCTACAGTGATGCTTTGCTCATAAATCTCTATAGTATTTGGCTGACTGGTTCTAGGAACCAGTTACAATCTAACACAATGAAATATGACATAGAGAACCCTGAAACCATTTATTTAGCCTTTCAACCTGTTCCTTTTATATACCTGAAATTGTCCAGGCAGCCTCTTATCTTTTGTTACGTGATCTTTTCCTACTTCAGGTATAGTTGTTGGTATTACTGGCTCTTGCTTGGCACCATGAACTAGATGAAGAAAACAGAGCAACTGAAGAAAAACAAACTTTTTTCCCCTTCATACTGCATAAACAATTTGATTGATCACAACCATAAAATTATAATTAAATTACACTTCAAATCAGCTGTAATTCAAGATTTTAAACAGAATACAAATTATTTAAAAAAACATTTCATGATTTGGAAAACCTTAGTGTAATGACCTCTGAAACCAGATTCTCCAAACATGTCACCTACATGCATTCAGATAATAATTTCCCATCTTCTCAGACAGTTATGTTTGTGTTTTTTCTTAAACCAAGTCTGAAAACATGTTATTTTTACTACAAGGATTGGGAGGACCACAAAAAAGGGAAACATCACAAAATCATGTAAGTGTTGCAAAGTTGATTGGAAGATGCTAACTTGGTACAGTGTTTCTAATGCATTAAAACCATTCTAGTCTGTGAAAGGGAACAGGGTTAGAAGTATCTAATAGAACTAAGCAAAAATCTTCCCTACAGGAAAGAATATAAATGATTTTAACATCTATGCGCAAGTATTACAAGTTAATCTGAAAAGTAACAGTACACAAAATGCTCTGATATGCTAAATAATTCAGTATCTGAACCTTTCCGTACAAAATTAAAATTCTATGAAATCTTTGTTTCATTTTCCTAGATGGTGTTCAATGTTGAAAGAAATAAGGAATAATTATAATATTCAAATTTAGACATTTGCCAAAAACAAAGGCAGTTTAACCCAAGAAAAAGTGGGAATCATCTGCATAACTATTTCACTGTTGCAACTCACAGGCAAGTTGCATCATCTTTTAGGTTTAAAGTCAACATAATGAAAAAAAAGAATGGATGGGAAAAACCAGAACTAGAAGATCTGTTTAATTTCTCTCATACCATTTTGGACACAATGATTACTTGTATTAATAAGAATAAAGCTGAATCAACTTACCATCAGGATCTTTGAAGGTCAGTGTGATGAACTTGCTAGCAACCATGAACATGAATATTACCCAAAAGCATACAGCTAACAGCAGCCACCGGTGGTGCATGATGTCAGATATGAGCCATGTAACTTCTGTTAGTTTCTGCTTTTTAAAAGCCACAAAAATAAATTAATGTGTACCCTTTTATTTATTTTATGAACAGTCTCTACAAATAACAAAAGATCTCTGAAATACAGAATACACTGTAAGGTGTCTAATACACAGCCTTTAAACTACCTATGGTGTTTGTCTTCTTCTTGTATTATTATTTTTGCAGAAAAGAGAAATCCATTTAGTTGCCCTAAATTTCAGTATGTTTTCATCTATATGGAGAATTAAAGAAATGTTCCTATATAACAAAGCAAAGTTTTGAATGCAATATATAGCAGCTTAAGAGATTTCAGTGTAATTTTGCATGAATAGAGAAAAAAATGAGGTTCCCCTTCTTTGTTATTAAGTTTACTGCATAACCATTCAAATTTAGCAATATGATTTGCCATCCTGAACATATATGAATAGGTTAATTTAAAAAATGAGAATTTATTTATAACTGCTGGAAGAAGCTTTAGCAAGAGTCTCAAAGGTTATAGAATTAGGCTGCAAATGCTACTGAGCTCAACTATTCAAATAAGCAAGCATATGATCAGGTATGACAAAAAAAATTCCCTAAATTTATTTTTCTAATTTTCCTACAGTTGAAAGGTAATTCTGCAATTAATTTCAAAACTTTTTTCCCATATCAGATAATTTTGAAAATACATACAGATGTGCTGTGTTTCTGTGAATCAATATTCTTAAGAATAAATCAGTTTTTAATAAGCCCTATCAACACTGCTGTTTGCACAATGCTCACTCACAACAAATTTGTAAAAGACAACAGCACAGAATTAAGAAGCCCAATTACCATGCAATCATATATTACTCAGAATAAGCTGAATAGGATTCAGTGAAATGTATATACAACAGCATAACTGTCACAATGCAGCTGAGGATCCTCATATATTATTATATGTGATCTATTTGTTAATAACAGAATACATTCTACTATAGGTGGATGATTATGTTACTTTTTTCACATAAAACTTTTAAAACTGCCTAAACACTTAATGTATTTGATAGAAGCTACAGAAATTCTTTGGGGAAATTGTGAACATTTCTTTGCAGTGACTGAGTAGTACCCGCTACTTTTGTCCTCAAGTATCAATCCTTTAGGCCTTTCATATCTAACAGGATATGGAAGATGGCTTGAATTGGTTTATTATTCTTCACAAAGGTTCCAACATGTGGGAAAAGATCCCTGCCCAGGAATCAGTTCAGGATGCCTCCAGGCTGGCCAGGGTCAAGCACCAGGTAGGGGATGTTCAGATTTGGCCAGAACTGCTCAGCTGTGCCAGGGTAGCTGCCTCAGGAAATGCAGGAGGTCTGAAATAAAGCAAGGAGGAAGGTGGGGGCTGAGGGGATTGGAATAAAGCCAACACAAAGCAGATAGTGATTCCTGAGATAGGCAGTTCAATTTATTTGTTTGTTTGTTTGTTTTATATGTTACTCATGTTTCAAAGCAACTCTGGGTGGCTTAGAGTGTTAAAAGCATTAAAATAAAAAAGACAGATATTTCTAAAACAATAAAAATGGAAATTACAATCAAAAATAGAATTATAGTTAAAAGATGGGGAAGGAGGGAGCCGGATGCACATGACTACTCAACTGGTGCAGCACCGTTTGCAGAATGGGACTTTTGGAGGGCTCAGCAGGGCAGAGGAAGCCTGGACAATTCCTATTGGCTTTTGAAAGCCAATAGAATTAGACTCTATTCAAGAGAGTCTATTCTATTGGCTTTCAAAAGCCAATAGAATAAAAGGGAGTAGCATAGCTAAGGAAAAGGGGGAAAAAATGGCGGACTGTGTTGTTTGGCAACCCCCGTGAAATGGTTGTTCGACCCCAAATGGGGTCCCGACCCACAGGTTGAGAACCACTGCCCTAGTATGTAATCAGATAAAAAATAACAACTAGAAATATTCCTATGAGTTGCAAGTAAAACTTTTAACAGAATTCCAATCTTTTGATCAAAAAGCAAGCTTCCTAAAAACTAGTAATGTGTCTCATTCCATATTGGGGAGGGGATGTAGTATTACAGAGGGGGGAACAGTGTCTGAAAAGGAACATTTCTATGGTACCTGATGGTGATAATCTCTAATCATGGGGATGTGTAGCTAGTTTGTTCTACTGGATCTTATGGGGTGGGCAGACATTACAGGGAAAAAGCAGCTTAAATCAGGAATGGCTTTTAATGTGGCAGTCAGCACTCTGAATTGTACCCAGCAGTTCACAGTTAATTTGTGCATTCCTCAGAATTGTTATGTGGGTGGTGAGGTACACCATCAGCACCTGAGCTGCTGGACCAATTGTAGCTTTTAATGCTCTTTGAGGCAGATCCATGTACAGTGCATTGAACCAGTCCAACTGAGAGGTGATTAATGCACAAGTGACACAGAGTAATGTCTGCTTTCCCAGTTTATTGCTGCTTAAGATGGAATTACTACTGTGTGTATAAAGGCCCTCTTTTCCACAGCTGCCACCTATTCTTTGAGATCTTCAAATTGTGAACATCTGGGGAGCACAACCCTGTTCAGAATAGTTTCAAATTGAATAGGAACAAGGAGCTTATCAAGTCCTGCAGTAATCCCCAATGGAAAGGTCCATGGCTCGATCTCTGCACCCACAACTGCTTCTATCCCTATATAATATAGCACTCCCCATTCTTGATGCTTGGAGAATGTCAGAATGCTAATAAGAAGATACTGAAAGCTGCTGAGATAAAGTAGGATCAGAAGGATCAACTTTCCTGTCCCACCAAAAATCACTGATATTGAGAGCAATGCTTTTTCTATGCTGAACTAAAAGTGAAATGGGTCCAAACAATCTGCTTCTCTTGGATCTCTGAAGTTCAGGGCAAAAATGTGTGGTATAACCTTGCCCCCAAAAAGGAAGTTGGAAATTAAATAATAATTATCCAGTATATCAGAGTTGAGTGATGGCTTCCTGAGGAGGCATAATATCCCTCTTTCAAAATAAAACATTAACACTCCTCTAAAGGAGTGTCACTACCATTCTGATTCAGCTTTCAGTCATTACCTGGAGGTTTTTATTAACTAGGAGAACTTATATACTGAGCTGATACAGGTAAACAGGCAGTCCTTGCTTACTTTAGAGACCATTCAAAATTACAATGGTGTAAAAAAATCCACAGCTGTGACCAATTCTCACATTTATAATTGTCACTGTCCCACAGTCACATGATTATCATTTATGTGCTTCCCAAGTGGCTTGTGACAAGCAAAATTAGTGGAGAATGTGGAAGTAAAATTATAAGTTGTGGGTTGCAATTGTGGTCTCTAAGCAAGATTTACCAGTATTACTTACAGAGAACCCTCTACACTTCCTTAAGATTCAAAGTATCAAACTCATCTCAGATAACTTTGTGAGATGAGACTTCATCTTCCCTGGACCTAACTAGCTGGCATCAAGCTGAACAATTTGAGCACTTTACAGCAATTGTATTTAATTAACAAATTGTTTAATCTGTAATTTCCCAATATTGAATATGCCCTTTTTCACAATTATAGCACACTGAGTGTAGGAAACTGAAGATTCCTTTCCTGACAAAGTCAGCCAATTTTGGGCTTTAGGACATATGTCAAGGATTTGTAGAAAAGGACAAATTGTTAACTATCAAACTCTACCTATGTGGTTAGTTTATGTTTCAATGTAATGTGCAAATCCAGAAAATGGGTCAATTCAATCAGGTAAAAACATGGTTTGCCAACAGTCAATGAAGTGTTCTAAAATTATAAATCAGTTTACATTTTGACTGCATATTTAGGCCATGACGTTTATATAAAAAAATTTGTTACAGTCAAAATGGACTTATAGCAGGTTTCTTTAACACGCTTTAAGTAAGTTGCGTTCTCTTTGAACCACAAAGACTTTCATCTAATACGTTGCTTAAAGCCAGACCACATGGACAGTTGGTGGTTCGCTGTATAACTGGAACTCGGGAAACTAGGTTGAGAAAGCAATGGTTGAATCCACAGTAGGTAAGCGTGTGACGCGAAGATACCGATGCCCGCTCCTAGGGACTTAACAATTATGCCCGCTCCCCCCCCCCCCAGCATACGGAGCTTGAGAAGCCAATACTTACTCCCGAGGATGTGTCAAACGAGCCAATCCCTTTGAGGCCCAAGAGGAACCATTTATTTGCCCACGGCCGAAGGCCAGCGCTTCTGGAGGGAGGCCTTCGTGCAACGCGCCTCCCTTGAGTTACATCGCAGATGGGATCCTGTCGCCGCCGGGGATCGTGAGCTGAACAGCCTCTTCCCCGGGCCGCAGTTGCTCAGCAACGCAGCACCGCGTCTGCCTAGCGCATTGTGCTTGTCGCCTTTTTCCAGGGCCGCCCTGATAGCCCTGTTACCGGCTGAGCCACCGAAAGAGCCTCGCTTCAGCCGATTACAGGGACAGCCAACATCGGCTGCAGCTGTAATTGCAGCTGCATCGCCCTTGGCTCGGCTCGGCTCGCCTCCGCGGCTTCCACCAGCAACAAGCCTGAGTGTTCCCTTTAGCGCCGGTTGTCTGGCCGCGCCGAAACACCACCAACCATTGCCTCCATTTCCTCGCTGCCTCCAAAGTAGCTCCGCTGCATCTTTCTCTGCGCTGCCTCCCGGGGCAGGCAGGCTGGCTGGCCTCTGAGGAGGCGGGGAAGAAAGGGGGAGAGGGAGAAAGCGGCCGCCAACCAGATGGGGCTCCCGGCGGGAGGAGGAAAACGTCTTGGGGTACTGCGCTGACTCAGCCTCGAAAGGCGGGGGGGGGGAGGCGAAGCAATGAGGAAAAGCCGGCACCCTGTTTAGTGGAAGGCCAGAAGGAGAAGATCTTCAAAAGCTGTTCCGCCATCTGGACGGAAGCAGGCTGGAGACAAATATCGCTTAAATCGATTTCGTTTGATAGTGAAGCAAAGGCTGACTCCTCAGAAATGGCGTTATATGCGCCTCAAGAAGCCTGGAATCATGTTGCGTTTAATTAACCACAATCTTCCGGCTTTTGCATCGGGCCTACAGTTTGATACCTGTTTCATTTTGGACCTAACCTGCTTTGAAAGCTGAGATGGAAAGCTATGATCTGCTCCCATCCCGGTTAGCTGAGGCGTACAGTAACAGATGCTACCGGTACACACACACAAGATTTAGATAGATAATCTTTATTGTTATTTTTTACTGTGGGCACAATGGCACATCTTAAAAATGAAATTTAGTTGCTTGCTCTCAAAGTGTACACATACATAACACATTTAAACATACTATTTCAGTATGTTGAATTTAGTTGCTTGCTCTCAAAGTGTACACGTACATAACACATTTAAACATACCATTTCAGACAAATGGCTGTCCGATCTCTTCTTTTCCTCATAACACATTTTATTAGTTTTCCAGTTTTACAATTGAGTATTTGGAAAGCAACATGGTGATTGGGTTAGTCAATAATTCAATAACATCTTTAATACATATCTCAGATTACATCATCTAAAATTCCTTCTCTATTTACCTTAACATTTGCTATATCATATTTAAGCTAGTAAATTTCTAATTATATCAAACTCAATTAAAACACTTATCAATATGTTTTTACTTATACATATCCATATCCTGTTTTTAAGTTTTACCTAATTTTAATATTTAATTGCTATATTCCAATTTAACCTTTAATATCCCTAATATTTAATTTTCAGGTAGCCCAAATTTCCTTTATTTCACTACATAGAAGTTATACTATCTAAAATACAGATATTACTTACGTAAATATATTTTTATTTTATTTCATAAACATTTTCTATTTCTCATCCTAGTACATCACCACAATATGGAGTATCCTTTATTATCTCAAATCCATGATCTATGTTATCTGGACTAAACAATAATTCAAAGCTATTACCTAATAATTAATTTTCATTTCCCTTATAAATCTTAAGTCTTCACTAATAAGCCAATCAATCCCTTGTTTTTTATTATTTTCCAACAGTATTTAAATTTAATAATCAAAGTTCCCTTCATCTTGAAATCTCCCTTTTAGCCCATTAATTGAAAATTTAGGATCCACTCTAATAAATCAAAAGACCCCATTTTTTAAATCTAACTCTAGCTTTCTTTTTATGCCAACCAGGCTTCCATACCAATGCTTTTTAGATCATCAGATAGATCTCCATTCTTGTACATGTTACTTAAACTAAAGGAGACCATCTAATTGTTAGTTTTCTAGAAAAACTGGCCCATTTATAATCATTAAGTTGTCGCCCTGATGGCACAGCTCCCGGTATTTGCTCTAGTATATTTGTCTTCCATTCAATCTGGTTTTCTTCTTCCTCAGGTTTCGTCTGGTTTAAGTAAAAAGTCATGTCCAATTTTGTAGTTGTTGTTTGATTGTCTAAGTTATCAATAGGCTGTACTTGTTGATCTTTGACGCCCTCCATCTTGGTATTACTTTCTTCCGCTTCTGATATTTTTTTAATTGTAGGTTCTTTAGTTGCAATCAGGGTTTGATTGACTAAAATTTCAATACATTGTACTTGTTGACCTTTAAAGTCCTCTGTCCTGGTGTTAGTTTCTTCCGCTTCTGTTGTTTTTTAGATTGTAAATTCTTTAGTTGCAATCAGGGTTTCACTTTGTAGATTTAAGCTGGCGCCTTTTGTCTTTCAGTCTAGATTTAATTATCTCAGTAGCTTCAAGAATTTTTTCAAGTATAAATTTATAATTAGCTGAAATTTGTTGCTGGTCCTCCTTCATTCCTGGCATAGTTATAGATGGTCCTTTAGTGAAGGCTATTTATTAAGCAAAAGTCAGTAAGTATTCACCTCCACAGTTCTTAAAGAGCAATTTCATCACTCAGCTGTTCTCTCAGCTTTTAATCTCTTTTAGATAATACCAAGGACAGATCTGGGCTATGAGCAGGTCTCTTTGTCAAGAATATTCACTTGTTGTACCAGATTTTGCCACAAGATGTCCTCAATAGCATTTAAAATCTTTTTCAAATCCCAGGCTAGGTTTTTGTCCAATTTAAGTTCTTTTTCATCTTTTTTACAAATAAATAGAGTAGCAGGTTCCCATGAAAGTAGGAACTTTTGGGGTCCCAAAATATCAAAAAGAAGCAAATTCAATTATTTAGTTGTTCTTTTCAAGGCTTTATTTCCTCTAGGTAGTCAGACGCCGCCATTTTAGAGGGTGGGAGGAAAATGTTCCCTTCCCTCTCTCCTCACAGGGGGAAGAAATTTCAAGAGGCTTTTTACAGGAAAATACTTAGGGTACAAAGAAGGTAGGATCTCACCCAATTCCTCTGCGGTGCTTTTGAAGTGCTTGTTGGTAATTTTGGCCTCTGCTGGTAGCAGCTTAGTGATGGGCCATGTTAATGGCTGATCTTTTCCCTGTCAGTTTGAAGAGCTGCCCGGGATCAAACAGGAGGGTTGCCGCCCTTTCGCGATCACACAGAGGTCCTCTTCATGCTCATCTCCCCTCCTGGGCAACTTCCAACCCTTTTCAGGGTCCTCTGGTGGGAGAAAACCAGACGGTGGAGAGAGCGATCGCCCCGCACGTCCGCCAGTGCCGCAATCACAAACCTGGAGCCGCTGTCCAATTTCTTCTTAAAGACTTTCAGTGTTGGAGCATTCACAGCTTCTGAAGGCAGGTTGTTCCACTGATTAATTGTTCTAACTATCAGGAAGTTTCTCCTTAGTTCTAGGTTGCTTCTCTCCTTGATTAGTTTCCATCCATTGCTGCTTGTCTTGCCTTCAGGTGCTTTGGAGAATAGCTTGACTCCCTCTTTTTTGTGGCAACCCCTGAGATATTGGAACACTGCTATCATGTCCTCCCTTGTCCTTCTCTTCATTAAACTAGACATACCAAATTCCAGCAAGTGTTTCTTGTACGTTTCAGTCTCCAGTCCCCTAATCATCTTTGTTGCTCTTCTCTGTACTATTTCTAGTGTTTCAATATCTTTTTTACATCATGGTGACCAAAACTGGATGCAATATTCCAAGTGTGGCCTTACCAAGGCATTGTAAAGTGGTATTAACACTTCACATGATTTTGATTCTATCCCTCTATTAATGCAGCCTAGCACTGTGTTGGCTTTTTTGGCAGCTGCAGCACACTGCTGGCTCATATTTAAGTGATTAACCACTAGGACACTGAGATCCCTCTCACAGTTACTACTATTGAGCAGGTACCTCCTAAACTATACCTGTACATTTGGTTTTTCATGCCTAAATGTAGAACCTTACTTTTTTCACCATTGAATTTCATTTTGTTAGATAGTGCCCAATGTTCAAGTCAAAATTCTTCTGTATCTTAAGCCTAATTGTGCTATTTGCAGGGAGTTGGAGTCTAGTGTGTATCCTGTAAATAAGAAAAGCACAAGGCAAACTAACAGGGTTTTGCAGTTAGTGCACGCTGATTTAATTGGTCCTATGTTGCCCTCTCTTGGAGGAGTTAGGTACATACTTGTCTTAATAGATGACTACGCCAGGTATGGGTTCTGCTATTTATTAAAGAACAAAACTGAAGTTCTACAACAGTTTAGGCAATGGGTGAACTTTGTAGAGAGAAGGTATGGCCACAAAGTATGCTAGCTGCAAACAGACAGGGGAACAGAGTTCCTGTCTGATAATTTCCAAAGATGGCTGAAAAATGTAGGCATAAAGCATAGACGTATAAACCCATATCAGCAGAAAATGGAATGGCTGAAAGGAGAAATGGTATATTGCAGACCATAAAGGACTTATGACTGGCAGATGCAGGAATGAGTAACACATAACTGGGGAGAAGCTATAAAAACAGCCAACTATTTAGTGAACAGGGTATGGAGTGTTGCTATTAATGAAACTCCATATTACATGTTGTATGGAAGGAAACCTTCATTAGCTCACCTAAGGACATTTGGAAGTTATGCCTGGATGCATATTCCCAAAGGCACCAGAAGGAAAGGATAGAAAAAGGCCAAGAAACGTAGGTTTGTTGGATATGAACCAGGTTCCAAGGAATATAGATTTTCAGATGGAACAAGGAAAGTTGTGATATCAAGGTCTGACAGTTTCACAGAGCAAAATAATTGGAACAGGGTGCATGCTTATCAAGTCCTGCCTTATTTCATGCAAAGGGGTTTTCCTCACGAGTAAGCGGTTGAGCAATATTCACGGAGGCTGGGATAGAACAGTTTGCCTTTGTCCCTTTACCCCCTTTACCATGGAGCAGTTATGTGCAGAGAATACCCAGCTCTCCCAACAGCTGGTTTTGCTGATAGCTCATGTTGCTCAGCTTCAAGCTCCTGCTGCTCCACAATCCCAGCAGAAGTGTCCAGTAGCAGTGTCTGATGAATTTGATGGCACTCTGGATATATTTCCAGCTTTTTTGGGACAATGCCAGTTCTTTATAAGTCTGAGAGTGGCAGACTTCCCCACTGATTGAGATAAAGTGGGGTTTATGATGAGCCTCCTATTTGGCCCTGCGACCCATTGGGCCACACCCCTGTTGGTTCAGCCTAGTCTGTTGTTGGATAACTTTGAGGGGGTTTGTGACTACATGCGTCTCATTTAGGAGGACCCCATTAAGACGCAGACCGCTACCAGACACCTGAAAGCTTTGAAGCAGTGCTGACGCCCTTTACAGGGATATATCAGTGAGTTTAGGCTGCTTAGCCAGGATTCGGCCTGGAATGAAGCTGCACTCATGGACGCTTTCCAGGATGGCTTGTTGGAGGAGCTGTTGGACAAGCTGGCCCATGTTGATGTACCCCTAGACCTCAATGGGTTGATCCATCTCTGTTTGCAGATCGATGCTCAGCTGTAATAGCCATAGGAGTCGTTGTGCTCCCCCAGAGACCTGGGCAACCCCAGTTAGGTGTGAGATTCTGGTTTTGCGGGAAGCACCTATGGAGTTAGCTGCTGTCAGGCCTCACCTATCGGTGGCAGAAATGAATAGACGATGTTCAGGGGGATTGTGTTTCTACTGTGGGGAACCTGGGCATTTGGCTGCATCCTATCCCAAGAAGCGACAAGGGGCATCAGCTACTGGGCCTGCCCCGCAAAAGCAACCTCATCTGTAAGGAAACGCCCTGAGTACGACCTAAAAGGTGTTTTGGTTCGGGCTTCCCCTAACACCAAGCGACGTCCATCAGATGTGGCACTTGGACCCCCACGGCATTTGATATTGATGGCACACTTGATCCTCTCTGGTAGGCCCCAAGGGATTCCGGTACACGCCTTGATCGATTCTGGGACCACCATGAACTTTATGGACACTGTGTTTGTGGCCAAATTGGCTGTTCCCCAATGCCCGGTGGAACCCCCTCTGTTAGTGGAGACTATTGATGGCTGATTGCTCCTCTCTGTACCCATTAAGGCTGCCATGCAACCATTGGGTATGGCCTGTGGTGGCGAACCTAAGGCACGTGTGCCACAGGTGACATGCAGAGCCGTTCCTATGGGCATGCGCACCATCACCCCAGAGGGACACGGGGCCAAGCTCCTCCCCTCCCCCTCTCCACGTGCACCAGTGCTTTCACTCTCTTTCTCTGCACCAGGAGTCAGGGAGCAGCTGCAAGAATTGGGCAGGGAGAGTTGAGAAGCCAGAAGTGGTGCAGAGAAAGAGGTGTCGAGACGAGCTCAAGGGCCAGGGAGGGAATGGGGAAAAAGATCACTCCTGCCATGATCTCCCTTCTGCTGGCCACTGGGAAGCCTGGCAGCATGGCTTGGCATGGCTACACCGGGAAACTCCAATGCCCTGGACTTGCAAGTGTTTCAGCACTCCCCAGGTTTTAGTGCGGCAACAGGACAAAACTCAGCACGTTGAGTTCTCTTTGCGGGGGTTTGTGGTGCCTTTGCAAGAATGGCTGCTCCCCTCCACCTTCCCATCTCCCCTTAGCTAAGGGGCGCTGTGGCATGGGCAGCTGGGGAAGGGGAGGCCCGGCTTCTCTCGGGGCCGAATTAAGTGGATGTTGGAAGGGGAACCTCTGAGTCAGGGGCAGCCAAAGTTTGCCCTCCAGCTTGGGAGAGGAGCTCCTTCCTTTCTGCATGAAGCGACTCCTGCCTCCCACAGCAAAACTGTGTGAGAATCGTGGAGTTTAGGCAGTGAGTAAAAGGTGCAAGATGACTGAAAGCCCTTATGATTTTAGGGGGGGGTGGAGGAGGGAAGGCAGTGTGGAAAGTTTGGGCAGGGCAATCCGTGCAGGGGGTGGGGGGAAAACGGCGGCAGCAGCAGGGCAATCTGTGCAGTGAGTGGGGGGGGAATGGCGGTGACAGCAGGACGATCCGTGCGGGGGGTGGGGGGAAACGATGGCAGTGCAATCCATGCGGGCAGTGGGGAAACGGCAACAGCAGGGCGATCCATGCGGGGGTGGGGGAAAACGGCGGCAGCGGCAGGGTGATCCGTGTGACAGGTGGGGGGAAATGCCAGCGATTGCAGGGCGATCCGTGCAGGGGGGTGGGGGAAACACCGGCGATGGCAAGGTGATCTGTGCAGGGGTGGGGGGAAACAGCTGTGATGGCAGGGCAATCCGTATGTTGGGTGGGGGGGAAACCTGCCCCACTTGTTCCAGGGCCGAGCTGCATTGTGGGAAAAACAAATGTAAACAAGAACTGTAAACAGGATCTATGATGAGGCAACCAGAATGACTAGATAGAAAAGAAATATTATATTGATGTGATTATTATCTCTAGAAATATTAGAAAAAAAAATTATATTCAATTGTTATTTACCAAAACAACAAGAATTGTATTAACTTAAGGTTGGTAAAATAGAACTTTATGGAAAAAGAGGAAATCAAGTAAAGCTACTATGTGGATTATAAATTATAGAAGCCAACTGTTAGTGAATGTTTTTTAAATGTAAACCCAGACAACACACTGTTTACCAAATGTTAAGGTGACTATGTTAAAAAATCAATAAAACATATTAAAAAAAGAAAATATTTCTTTTCAACTAGCTAGTTACTAGCTAGTTGTTGTGCTTAGCTAGTAAGCCAACAACAAGAAAGATGTAATTTACAATTCAATTTATATCACTAAACTGTTAGTAATTTAATAAGAGTAACTAAAACTAGTCTAAGAAAAGAAGACTTTACATTTCATACCTACCTTGCCACTTTCAGATCTATTGTCATCATTGAAGTGGCAGGAGAATCTAGAACAGAAGTTTGAATGATGACCTTATTGCATGGACAAATTAAGAAAGAGGTAGGCATTTCTTGGAGTCTACCATATTTTATAAATAGCATGAAGCATGATTCTTATCTATATGCTATTAAAACTCTATTGACTGTTTGTCTGTTAGTAACCTTCAATTAGCATCATAGCTCAAAAATATTTGAATCAAAGTACTTCAAATCTGCTAACATGGGTACAAAATATGGGATTCTTTACTCCTGTGTAATTGAAATTTCAAGGATCTTTACACCAGTTGTGTTCACAAAGTGGTGGCTGTTGCAGCATTGCCACAGTTAACCACAGTTACATAATTGTCATTTCTTATATTTCCTGAAAGCTTCCCACAAAAATCAGTGGGGAAGCTGGCAGAAGTCAGAAGATGACTCTACCTTCCACTGCTTTTTTGCCTACTCATGGTCATTCTGGTTTTTCTGTTTAAGTAAGGAAATATCTCTGAAAGGATGATCCAACAGATCATGGGTTTTCTTCTTTCGGCTAAAGAAGAAACTATTAAAGGAATAAAGATATCAAGTTTAATGTAATTTTTAATTTATTTATTAAATTTATATGTTGCCTATTTCACTACTAGAACTCCACATGTCTAATTCCATACCAGTGGGGTATACCTGTTGAATTACAAATAATAACTTGCTTCCTTTTTGTTTTTTTTTATATATATATACTATACAGTGAAACCCTCAGGTAACCTTAAAGTGGAATTAATAACAGTCAGGTTTTAAAAATAACAATAAAAATAACAGTAAGGTTTTAAAAACACTATATTTCTCTATTGATATGAAATTCAGAATGAATTGTCTATTAAAATGTATTGTTAACAATGTTTATTCTACATTTATTGTTTGTTTATTGTCTGAGACTAGTTTTAATACTCAGATTGTTTCTAAAGATATAGCTAAAAGAACAATATAATTGATTTATATTGTCCTCCCCTTTTATTTATTCCTTTGAAGACCTTGCACTGGGATTAAATCATGTCTAGGTATGAGTGTGTGTCTCTGTGATTAGATTATCCAACCAATCCTGGGTTAGATTCAAACTTATTTATATTCAGTAAAGAGTCACTGAAATAATTGGAACTTTATTATTACTAATATAGAAACTGATTTCAGTGTCTGTTGGAAGTATGATTAAGTCTGTATTCAATTCTCCTGCTGGGACTCCTTATTTGAACCACACTATTTCACCAGAAAATTATAGAAGCACTTCCCCTTCCTACCTAGCTACATCCTAGTCCCCCTCTCCTCTCTGTCTTTTTAAGGACCTTTCATTCTGTGTATAGAGATCTAACTAATTGGTAGACTTGCTGAGAGTTGATGGGAGGAAACCTTACTTCTTAAATAAAGACACAGCATGAAGCTTAATGAGAAAACGAGGATACTGTGAGGCTCTGATTGGTTCTTTTTTCAGTGTTGCAAATAAAGATGTCTCTCGAGTTTAGACTAGGCATAGAAAAGTTAGTAGCAACCTGGCTGCTTCGTGAACTTGAATTGGCAATACAGAAAAGTTTGGGTTTTTGATTTGGTGGATGAAAATGAAACAGTCATTTTCTCTTTTCCCTTTGCTCTTTGTGATCTGCTTTTGCACAGGACAATTCACTTCAGGTAAGAATCATTCTTGCTCTGTATTGATTTAAGATGTTTGTGTATTGTCCCAACTCTTTGAGTGATTTACTGTACAAATTAAAACCACTGTAGATATCCTGTCTGTGTAATGTGTACTTTTTATTTCTATAAGGTTTTTTTAAAGATTTTAATCACAGCTTTATAAGTCAAAGACCTAAAATGGAATTCTTGTTTTAAGAACTTTATCATAAGAGATACAACTTTTGTACTAAATAAATGAACACTGCTTTTCCTTGACTCATAGTTAGTATTTAGAGAGAGATCGCTTCTAAACTTTGGCTGCAGACTTCCTATAACTTTGTATATCTCTGAGCTATCCAAGGTCCTAAATAGAACATGGTAGCCATGTCCTTTTCTATGGAGAATTTTTAAATACAAGTTTTGGTTGAAACAATTCATGAACGTTAATTAATTAAAACCAGGTCACAAGTCTTTAAAATCAGTATGCATTCATATGTGAGGATGTATTCTCTTTCTCTTCTTCCTTCTCAATTACATTGGTTTCTTTTTGTCATCCCAATTTAAAGGTTTTTGTTCTTTTATAACTGAGGGTGGGAGTTAATTACAGAATGAACTTTTTAAATGCTAAATTCAAATTTAAAGTTCTAGGAAAGAAAGTGATATAATTCTCTGATCAAAGGATTTTGTTTGATCTGTAATATACAAGTTTCTTCAGGAGTATATGCATTTTCTTTATGTTAATTCAGATTAAATCAGTCAAATTCTTACTTATTATTTCATTTTAACAGGATTTCCTCAGACTTTTGCCCGCTATCAGGATGACTCAAATGTTCCTAAAAATGAGGTATATAACATTTAACATATTTTCCATGTCTCTGCCAGAAAAATATAAATAATAGGATATCCATGAAAAATATGTATTCTATTGCAGTTAGAGAGGAAAGGCCATGTACAGTAGTGTTTGCTGTATGCAAATGCATATAAATAAATGAATTGTTATAGGAGCAAAGTATACAAATGTGGACTACATATGAACTAATGTTAGCACTTGTAAATATAATCTTTTGCACAAGTTTTTATCTAGATTAGAAGTTTCTTTTTTTTTGTACGTTTGCTCTAGAGACTGGCACTATGTTTCAGTCAGTGGACAGAACTCTTTGAACAACCTCAGGTAAAAATGTATAATTAATTTAGAATTATAGATGCATTAAAAATGTGTACATATTCACCCACATACTATTAATTTTTTTCTATAAAGCTCTTTCAAGCAAATAATTCATGTAAATTATTTGTCATTCTCTAATGCTGAAACTTAAACACTTGTTTTTTCTTAAGCAATTTTCACAACCTTTATTTCACAACCTATCCATACGTATAAAATTAGTCCATATTAACTAACTACACTTTCCTATCTATCTACCATTTGAATATGGGTATTTCTAATCAACTAACATTGTTGGAACCACAATTCTACATAAAAGAAGTAGTGTGAAAATAATACAACATAAGGAATAATCTAACATTTAGTCATAGTGTCTGATTGTGAATACAAAAAGTAATTTTAAATTTAAAAGTATTAAAAGTTATTTATTTACTTTAAACTTTTCTTTGACTGTCTGACAACTAGTGGCTACTTTATAGATCATACATCTGAAAAGTGATCTATTGTAAACCTTTACATTCCATTACTATGTGTTTTAACATTCCAGTCTATTTTTATAGTGATCATGCAACAGGTAAAGGATGAATAATTAATGTGTTTCACATTTTAAACTGTTTTTTCACAATACTTTTTTATAATGTTATGTTCATAAATTATGCCATAAAGTGTATGAAATTGCAAAATATTTATTAATAAGCAACTGTGAGAATTATCAAAAATAATATAAATATTTTGGATTTGACTGTCTTATTAATATATTAATTTAACACTCATGTCACTAAAATTAGTTTAAAAGTTCTTTGTATTTTTTTTAAAAAAGCTTATATCTATAATAATATATTATAGTCATCCTGAAGTACTCTCCCTTTGATCAGTTTGAACCATAATTCTCAAAATTTCTAGTTCTCATGGATGGATGATAATATTTCAGGGAAGATTGAGGTCAAGTCATATCATCAACAGCAGAATTATTTCTGAAATACATTTTCCCTGCAGATTTCCAGTGCACTTTTGGATTTTTGTAACTCCATGTTTGACAGCCTGCAGATAGATGAGGTAAGGTGATTTCTCCTTGCAAACGATACCATAGTATTTTGTTGGTAATAGTTATTATTAATCTAATATGATCATCATTATCCTTCCTAGGAAAATAATCAGGAATTGTATAAAAGAGTGAGTATTTATTTTTTAAATAGAATTGATATGCATATTTTAATTGAAACAATATAAGATACTAAAATAGCTCTTTTTATGCAGTTTTTATTTCACTACTCCAGAGCTCAAGACCCAACATATCCACTTAAAACGGGGGTTAGTACTTTTAACATATTCATTTGTTATACATTTTTAACATACAAAAGAGTATGCAAAGATATGTACAATAACATATATCTCTTCACTGTATTTATAACTCCTTTAAGCAGCATGTCAATAAAGTAAAATAAAAAGAATCTTCCATGGATGTTTTCAAAGTGGGGGCAAATTACAAAATGGGTGTTGTGACATTGCAATGTAAACTCTTTCCCTTTTAATCCAGGTTTTGGTTTTACCTGCTAGTAAGCAAAGGAAAAGGCTTTTCATGTGATGGCAGAGAGCATTTTTCGTTATTTTGATGAACTCTTGGTATGCTGCAGATGCCTGCTGTCTTCTGAAATTTATATTCTAATTTCAGGATCTAAAAAAAAAAAATCAAAGCATTAGTTTCATGAGCCAAATGGAGCCAAATGCAAGGTACCCCTTGCACCTTGTTCAAAACTTTCTTTAGATTCTCCTTTCTAATGATTCATAACTGTATCCACATGCATTCAAATATTATCAGTCACTACCTATATCATTAATATTTGCCAATAATAAAAAGAATAATTTGGCTAGTATGGTGATTACTGTGCTGGTGATAAAAGAAGCAATAAACACTGGCCTTATATAAGTTTTCAAGTGGTTCAGCTAAAGGCAGAGACCAAATGTAAGCGAGATAGATAGAAACACAGCACAAACAAGACATCTAGACTCAAAGTACTGTAATATGCAGCTTCATCCTCAGGTGGGCTCAGATTTATCTGCATGCAACTCTTGTCCCCAGTCAATATGTCTGTTTCAGACTTCTGAAAGGCTCCAGTTTATGGATGGTTACATTAGAAATATTCATGCATCAAACCAGTTAGCTGGTATCTAGATTTTAGATATTACTTGTTCTAATATTCTAATATCTAAAATAGCATTCATAATATCTTTTTGTTATAGTCATTCCCTCTGCATCCTTTAATGAGCCTTGCTCCAAAGCTCTCGGACAGAAGAAAGAAAAGATTCCTTAATCCAGTATGCATTCACATATTCCATATTACTTTGTATCTTTTAATTTACATTTCCTTTTTTTTTTAGCCATTGTGCCAAGTGATCAAGTTGTGAGCAATTACTAAAGAAAAATGCAATTCCCTTTCCTTCTTTGATTTTTTTTCTTTCTACATTCCATCCTTTCTATTTCACCCATTCTTTTTCATATTGCACTTTGTTGTTTATTTAAACTCAGTCACAACAATAAATGTAGATATGCCTATTATGAATAGTGGTCAATTCTAAACTTAGGCATTGCATCTTGACAGTATCTTCATGCTTGAGGCTTTAAATATAGATATTGCCCATGATCGATTTTGTTTGTTGGCACAGGAGCATGATGACCTGTGTTTTCATGATATGATGGAATACTTGTCTAAAGTGAGTTGGAATAATTATCAGCTGGCAACCAGTTCAGTAAATAAAAATGATCAGTTATAACTTGTGACTGGGTTAAAATTCAGTAAATAATAGAGAGAGATAGGGCAAAAATCCTAGCACAAATAAAAGAATATAAGATATGACTGCTGTTTGAGATTTTTGTTATGTTCAGGAGTATATCTATGCCATTTTGGTTTAAGAGACCAAAGCATGTTTGTACAATGGAACCATCTACTAACAACTACTAACAGGATATAAAATTGAAGGCGTTTAGTCAGATGATAAAATTCACATTGTTCTCTCCTGCAGGAATTGCAGATTGCTGCAGCAGAATTCATGAAAAAGGTAATGTTTAAAATGCAGATATTACTGTTATATATGAATATTATTGCCAATTCTCAACTTTTTGATGGGGATTTGGATTGATAGATCACACTATCAACTATCTCAGTCAGCAAATTAAAGATATAGATGCCAGGAAGCATGTTTTCTATTGCATATGAGATCTCTGAATCTTATGCCATCTGTCATAACTTGCAGCCTATTCTTGTGTGTGCATATACTATGGCCTTGGGCTATAGGATGAAGACTTGCAGTTCCAAAATGTTTGTTACGACCTTCAGCTCCTCTGCAGTATTTGTAATTTTTAATATGTCAGAGGGAAAAATATTACAGTAGCTAAATAGGGAGCAATTATATTAAATATTAACTTAGTTTTTGTTCTCATCCTAGGTATATACATGTGTGGGTGTACATATTTATTAATCAAATCAGTATAGCTACCAACTTCACCAAAATGACTCTGGATGGCATACAACAATCAGATAAAAACCACAAATATAAAAATAAGAGATATAAAAAATTAAAAATCTACATTAAGAAATAAATAGTATAAAAACAAATATATAAACCCCAAGCCAAGAGAAGGTAAAAATGACCTCCTCAGCAATGGAACCATCTAAGCAAATTTCCCATTCCTAACATAAACAGGTCTTGAGGGCCTTCTGGAATATCAAAAGAGAGCTAATCTAAGAATATTCCATTAAGGTGAGCACCATGGCAGAGAAGACACATCTCCCAGGACCCACAAAATGTAAATCCCTAGCTGACGGTAACTGCAGCATGCTTTCTCTGACAGTTCTAATAGGACAAGCTGAAGTAACTGGTGAGACAGATAGCCTCAGTCCATGCCATGAAGGGTTTTAAAGTTTAAAACAAGCATCTTGAATAAGACCCAGAAACAAACTGGCAACCAATGTAGTGTAATATGCACTGTTCTAGGAGCACGCATAACTGTGACCACTGTCCTCATTTGGAGGGAAGGGGGAAAGGAGAGGGAGAGGGAGGGGGAGGGAGGGAGGGAGGGGGAGGGAGAGAGAGAGAGAGAGAGAGAGAGAGAGAGTGTACTCTCTTGGGTATTGTTTTAAGTAGACTTGCAGATGATTGTGGTGCTAACATCTGTTGCTGGGACATATATTCTTTGGGCTCTGATTCCCTATAGAATTGCCTTCTTCCTGAAATCTGGAATCCCCTTAAAGTGACTTACAACTTCATGCTTCTGCACACACAGTATAACATTTGAGAATTGTTCACTTATACTGAGTTTTGAAGTATTTTATTAAATCTATCTTATTTATTTTATTTTACAGGATGGTTTGGATGATTTAGGACGATCCTTATTTCTTTTCAGGGTATTAATTTTTCTGTTTCCTTTTATGAAGAAACTTGACTTTGAGTTACATATTTGACTTAGAGACCATATTTATAGGTTATAACAAGTCTATAATAAATCCTACATAAATGAATTTCTGTTCCCCAAAATTAAATAGCTAGAATATTGTACTAATTAAAAGCTTAATGAGGAATAAAATAGCCTAGGCAAAAAAACCAATTAAAATATTTCTAATAGCAAAATATAATTATGTTTAGGAAGAAGCCAAAATAAGTATTACCTTGTATTAGTTCAATCCTAATATTGCATTCTCATTATTTCAGTGGAATAAATGATAAGGGAGTATACAATAGGATGGTGAAGGAGGGATTAATTGAAGCATAGGCCTATCTTTCTTATTACCTAGTGCCTAATTTTATTGCAAACTTAGTACAAAGATTTTTTTTCCCACTGGTATCTCATAAGGAATACTATCAAGCACCATCTTATTATTCATTTTCAGCCTAGAAATGGCAGAACTGTTGATACTGATGAACAATAGGCCACTAGAAGGTGATTTTTATTTATTTATAAGTATAATATTTCTTTATTCATATAGTAACATGCTTTGTTTCCTTGGAAATGTTCTCATAAGATGCAGCTTGGAACAATGTGTTTATTTAGTCCTTGTAGCATTTTCATTGGCCATTGTAATCGTCCTGCATGAATCATTTTTAATAGCATCATTTGTATGATCTATATGATCATATATATTAAGGCCATTCCTACCTATAATGTATTATTCATGTTGCTTATGTCTGTCTTATTCATCAGGAGGAGCTGTTGGCACTGCTATGCTATGCTTCTCTTTGCTTTAGCAATATGCTGGCTTTGTTACACTTCACACCTTTTATTTATTTATTTAATTTTCTTCTCTCAACATAAAACTCTATACCATAATCATTTATGTGAGTTGATGTTTTGCTATGCATACTTACTACTGAGTAGCTTTAGTCTGTAGAAAGCAGGATTTCTAAAACCTTCTGTGCCATATCGAAACTAAGAATGCTGCATGGAATTGTTATCAAGTCATCAGGAGTTGAGCTTCATTTGAAGAAAGCCTATTTACTTTATTGATGTTAATTATTTTTCCTCCTAAAACTAATTATTGAAAATATGGACCATTTCCAAAAGCAGTATAGGCTGAATCTGGCCCAAGGTGGATATAATTTAGGGGTTCTTAATCTGACCTTTAAGGATATTAATCCTTATTTTTTGTAGTCATGTGTCTGCTAGAACTGTCATAAAATTAAGGGACTGAACCACTGGTATCAATTCCAAATAAAATTAAGAAATAATATGGTTTGATTTCAGCTCTGCTTTATGACTTCTAAGCTGAACTCTCCTTCATATGCATATCACAATCTTGGTAAACAAACTGATATCTCATCAGAGATTTCTAGTGTAAATAGTGGTACTTTTTGATATGGAAGTGTGTTTGGATTATTTTAAGTATTTATATTCCTCTAAAGCAGACATGTCAAACTCGCGACGTCATGTGATGTCGCGCAACGTATCAGGATGGTTTTGCCTTTGCGGCTTTGTGGCTTCCAGATGACGCATCCAGCCTGCGGGCCGGCAGTTTGACACCCCTGCTCTAAAGACTGAACATATTTTAAAATGTAATTCCTTTCAGATTTCTACAGAAGATATATCCATGTTTGGCTGATTTGCTCCATCAGTTTATACTATGAAAAAAGATGTATGTCTATGAATTTTAAGAAAGATTGTTCTGTATCATGTGAAATCACGTACAATAAATTTGCAGCTATATATTTTGTTTGAAAAATTTTTGTGGGTGCTCATAGACAATCTTTTCAGTTTCTCTTCATTTCCAAATTAGTTACTATAAAGATTTGCACATGACCTATTCAACAAATTACTCAGAACTAAAAATCAAATTTAAAGTTGGCTAACCTGAATAATATGAAATTTAGAAGATAAAAGTGAATATTCACTGTGTTACAATCCAATATATTATATCATGCTTTTTCCATTTTAAGTTCTAATTCAATGGCAAAAGCTATCACATTAAAGTAATGAGATAACTTAAAAGGAAATTTGCATTCTTCTTTGAAAACATTTATTTAAGTTGCACAAAAATGCTATTGAACATAAAATAATTACATAGTCTCTTTTTAATGCAGCCTGGAGATGTATACAAGGTGCAAGCCCTTTCTCCATTCCCGAGGAAACAACTACTCTAAAAGACATAACAAAAATCAAGCATTAGGGACATATGGGTAGATAAATCAGGGAAAGATAAAAGCCTGAAAAATTACAAAAATACAGTTCTTAGGCTGACCACATGATGTTGTACGTCTGCTATAAATGAATGCTTTTTACTTGTAAGACAAATGTGAAATACTCTGCCAAGATTATACATAAAATTAGTATCTTCCTGCCTAGCTTGAAATAATGCAGAGCTGAGAATACACGTTATAACGTATAGAACATAAAGTAGAATAATGAGATTGGAATGGACCTTGGAGAGCTTCAAGTCCAATTCTCTGCTCAAGCAGGAAATCCTATACCATTCTGAACAAATGACTGTTCAGTCTCTTATTGAAAACTTGAAGTGATGGAGCACCCACAACTTTCAAAGGCAAGCTGTTCCACTGATTGAGATATGTTTGTATATTAGTGGCTCAGGTTGGTAGTTGGGCTGTTGGTTTGGTCTCCGAGCTTGGTGATTTGTCTGCAAACGTTTCATCTCCATTTGGGAGAACATCTTCAGTGCGCTTTGAATTATGCTCATCTGTCAGAGCACTGGCCTTTAAATACCTTTTTGTGTGATGTAAATTAGTGTGGGTGTTATTTGTCCAGATTTTCTGGGTCATGGTCTGGTTTCAAGCTGTTTGATTGGCTGGATATTGTTGCTGGGCCACACCAAACAAACAGGCACTCCACACAGCAACAAAACTCACACACCCCCCCCCAAGAAACCAGCCTACGCCTCAACAACAGCCAGCCAGCCAAACAACATGAAACTAGACCATGACTCAGAGGCAACCAAATGAACAAACACCAGACTGTGGCCCAGCAACAACAACCAGCTAATCAAACAGTCCAAAACCAGACCATGACCCAGAAACATCCAGACAAATAATAGCCACACCAATTTACATCACACAAAAAGGTATGTAAAGGCCAGTGCTCTGATAGACAAGCACAATTCAAAGTGCACTGAAGACATCTCCCCGAATGGAGATGAAATGTTTGTTCCACAATCAATTGTTCTCACTATCAGGAAATTTCTCTTCTAAGTTGGTCCATTCTTTAATGATTTTCCACCCATTACTTGATTCAATGTACATTTTGTATAGTACAGAAAAATAAGATAGACTTTGAGATGAAATATGAAACAAAGTTCATATTTAACAAAACATATATAAATATTTTCACTTATCTTTTGAGATGTAATTGATTCCCAAAAATAGATTCCGTCTGCCTCCACTTCTCCCTCCCCATCTTCCCTCATCCTGGAGATTCCAGGAAGTTAATTCTTAGGCCACTAAGTACAGGTAGTCCTCAACCTACGACCACAATTGACCCCAAAATTTATGTTGCTAAGTGAAACATTTGTTAAATGACTTTTGCCCAATTTTATAACCTTTCTTGCCACAATTGTTAAGTGAATCATTGCAGTTCTTAAGTTAGTAACAGAGTTATTAAGTGAATCTGGTTTCCCCACTGACTTTGCCTGTCAGAAGGTTGTAAAAGTTGATAACATGACCCCGAGACAACCATCATAAATATGAGTCAGTTACCAAGCTTCTGAATGTTGATCATGTGACCAAGTGGATGCCGCAATGGTCATAAGTGTGAAAAACAGCCATAAGTCATTTTTTCAATGCTATTGTAAGTTTGAAAGGTTATTAAATGAATTATTGTTGTGTTAAGGACTACCTGTAGACAGAACTCCAAACTTTTTTCCAGTCTTGTGTGGCTGCAGGTGGATATTGACGACAAGGTGACAAATGGGATGGAAAAAGAATCCTGTTTTAGAGTGCTAGGAAAGTACAATTTTAGATTAATCAAAAAAGCCACATTTTGCTAAAAATACCAAATAAAAAATAAAATTTAGCATGAGGATCAAATATTATTTGTTTCTACTTTGGAAGTTCCAGAATTTGCTTGCAAGCAACTTCAAGATAGGTAATCCATACCCTGAACATACAATGCATAGATTTCAAAAGCAAATTTTTCAAATGCAATCCTAACCACTTAACAAAATAGGAATTCAAGCTATAGGTGATAAAGCCAAACTGAATTAATTTTATATCTCTCCCCACTATATATATTGAAGTTGTATGGACATATAGACATACAGGTGTTTCAACTCTTTTCCTTGGGATGCCACTATAGGGCTTTGTACGCCAAGATATCTAGACACAGGGACAGTTTCTTCCCTCATGCCATCGCTCTGCTGAACATCTAATTTTCGCAGCTGACAAAATAGAGTGACTATTAAGTTTTTTATCTAATGTATATGTAACAGGGTGTGGTTGCAGTATTATTTATCCCTTTTATTGGCTGTACACTTAGTACTATTATATTCTGTTGCTTCTATTTTGGAGACAATTTCTTGTGTTTCTAACCACACTTGACCAAATAAATAAAGTATAAAGTTTAAACAAATGCTATATATTTGGGAACAACTATACATCATTGGAGTGAACTCACATGGTTAAAATTGTATTAGAGTCTAATATACAGTATATTCAAGATGGACAATATTTAATATTTATTTGCTATGTATATGTAGGGATGTGGGTCTATACATATGTTGTTCATAGTATGTTTAGGTGTGTGTCATGTATATGTTTCACTTTTGAGAGCGGGCAACTAAATTTCATTTTTGATGTGTGCCATTGTGCCCACAGTATAAAAATGACAATAAAGGTTATCTTATCTATCTTATCTTATCTTATCTAATACATTTACACATTCATACCAACCCAACATTACTAAAATCATTTGAGGAAGACAAAGGAATTATGAGATGCTTCCATTTACTTTTAATACCAGATTCAACATTCATCGCTTCACTTCTGCATGCTTGCTCATAGACTTATAAATGCAGCTTGTTCTATCTAGTTCAACGAAGCATCTAGAAATAGAAAGCTGCCTTATATTGTCAAAATTCACTTAGTATTAAGCCATGGTTTAAAAAAAAACACAGGATGGACTCACACAACAAACCTAATGAGAACCAAGCAAACCACATTATGGATTAGCACAATTTGAGATTATTGATCCATCTAGACCAGCATCCATATTGATCCATCTAGACCAGCACTGTTGATAACTCTACCCATGGGTCCCAGAGATTCAACTTGGGAGCTTTGACATGAAAAGCATGTTCACTGTTTAGAGTTATAAACCTTTTTGGACACATTTGCAAGTGAGGTACATTTTTAATTATGAAGTACATAAAGACTTGTATTAGATGAAGCCAACAGTCGAGAAGGATTTTTATCAATTCAATGACAAACTTCTGAGATGAGGAATTCATCTAAAGGTACATGAAGTAAAAGCAAATTAGTTCCCACATCATAAAAACTAAGAATATAAATGCAAGGAAGAATGTAACTACAGTTCTATTTCACAATCATAATCCTTAATGCAAGTAAATAAATTTAAAGTGCTGATCTGGGGGCAAAACCTTGATGAATATCAAAATGGGTTTGCCAATACCAATCATTTTACTTACAGGCTGGTGGGAAAAAAAAACAGGAAAAACCACTTAAGTTGTAAGTTTGAAGAATTACATATCTGAAGAGTGCTAACCTGAGGATAGCCAGGTTAACATAAAACATCATCTATTCCTTCTGCAGCAAGATTCCCATAATACTATAAATGATGATCACTAATATTTAGTTTGTATGGAAATAGAGAGGTATACCACTAGTTCTCCACTCCATTCAGGACTAAAGGTCATTTATGTTAGAGCTAGGTGGACATTGTTCATCTTTTGATGACTGTGTGACCCATATATAATTGGGGGATAACCAGTGGAAACTGCTAAAAAAAACACCCCAATTTCCAGTCTTTCCCTTTTAGCAAAGATTGTTCTTGCAAGAAAAGATGTAGAATTTTTCAGAATTCCTGGGACTGATCATCTCCTTTGGTTTCTTTAAACTGTGCTGTTTTCTTAGGAAGAAGAGGGGCTTGGATATTGGGGAGAACTCCTCCTTCAGGAATGGTCACATTTGCAAACAACTTGTTCAACTCTTCATCATTCCTTATTGCTAACTGGATATGGCGCGGTCCAATCCGTTGCTTCTTATTTTGAAGAGCAGCATTCCCAGCTAATTCCATGACTTCTGCAGTCAGATATTCCAAGACTGCAGCCAGATACACCGACGCTCCTGCACTTATTCTTTCAGCATAATGGCCCTGTCTTAGGTACCGGTGAACTCGGGGCACAGAAAACTGCAAGCCAGATTTTTTAGTCTTGCTGTTTCTGGCAGGCAGTGTAGGCTTTGGATGTTTCTTACCACGCCCAGACATTCTGGTTCTATAAACAAAAAAGACCTTCCTTCATTATTTCAATTTAACTCTGCAATTGAACAGAGCCTAATAGATTCTGCTAACAAACTTAAGCACTAGCTATTAAACATTAATACAAATAAGATTTGTATACACATCCCCATTACCATATTTCTATAAAAGAAGTACTTAAGAAGTATTTCCACCTTTCCACTGAAAGATAATCAAGGTAAATGGAACAGCTTTGCCACTGATGTTATCAGGTTCACTAAGTTTGGAAAAAGCTAGCAAATATTTTCAGAATGACATAAAAAGGTATCAACTGCATTAGAACAAGAATAAATTATCAAGATTTAACTTTTTAAACCCAGCAACCACAATACATTACATATTCTATGAATATACTTTGTAGCTACTTCTGTATAAAACTATGAAATCTTTGTTCCATCATTATCATCATTATCCACAACATAGCTTGTTTGATTTTGGCTATGTGTATTCTCAGCAAATTATATTTAATTATGATTTATTGAATAAACCACCATTTAGCACAATGTATTAAATGGACTACTAAAAAGCAGCAGATTTCTTTGTATAGATATAAAATATCATTAGATTTTTATAACCCAAGTCTGTTAATTAAATAATTGCTACAGAACAGTTAAATGTTTCTGGCCAATAGTGCAACATTTTTTAATAAAACATTATCTAGTCCTATTTTTAAAAAATTCAACATTCTCTACAATATAAAGCTAATTATATAGTGTTCTTATTTTATAAGTAATATCAAGTAAGGCAAAACCAGGTTTAGTATTTATAACTTTTTAAACCCTTCAAAATTACTCACTGCTTATGTTACTCTCTCAAGTCTCTAGACAGCCAAATACTTTCTTCTTGCTTGAGACAGATACTGCCTCTTTTTAAACACTCTATGTATAATTACTGTATATTTAAGCAGCTGCATCTACTTCACTATTAATACTAATTTTAATTGTGTTGATTTTTCCTTGGCAACAAAACCACAATCCCCAGTCTTACAATAGAGAACTTCTTATGGTCAGCAGGATGTTTACCACAAATATTTTATCTTTTGAAAATTAATTTCTAGATTAAAGCTGCATTTACATAATATACTAAACTACAAATTAATAAACTCATTTTAGCTTAGCATGAATGCAAACTAAACTATATTTTTTTTTGCTTAGTAAATTATGCTAATCCAGAAAACTGGATTCATTGGGAAAGTATGGATAAGTGTGCTTTCCAAATCTCATTATTGGGAAACTGTAACTTAATATTAAGTATATAGAAGCCATCTCTCCTTTCATGAACAGGGGAAATTTATTCCTTAACAAGGCAATTTTGAGTCATTTATTGCTAATACAGTGCCATAAGCACAAGTCTTTCCAGTAAGACTTCGTTTTTCTTTTAGATAATGGGAAGGGAGTGTAAGCTAAGAGCAGACACAGACACAAGATCTTAGGTAAAAGATCAAGAAGCAACAGGTTTGACAAATACAGTAAACTTAAGTAAGGTACTTTGAGTATCAGTATTGTTTAATTCATATTTGTAAATCCTCCTGATTTCAATGAGACTCACTCTGTTTATTTTATTGACTTCTGAGTAGATGGAAGTTTTTAGCTGATATCAGAATTCCCGGGGAATTCTGAGAACTGCAGTTCACGTATCTTCAAGTTGCCAAACCTCAGAAATACAATGCTAAATTGAAATACCCACAGTATGTAAATATCCAGAAAATTCTGGTCATGGACGCCTGGAATTTTGCAGCCTGGATCTGCTAGCCTTAGGTTCTCCACATTAGAAGATAAGCAAGCTTTGGATACTGGAAATGAAAAAATCCCATTTCTGAAAGAAAACAACGGTAAACTATTTCTGTTCTGTTGTTAAGAAAAGTACCTGGAAGCTTCCACATAATTTCCAGAAAGCAAGGCATATTTGTTGCACTGACTAGCTTGGATTAGCCTAGTATGCTGAATACCAGGCCATTCATTAGCCACTCTCCTCCATTCTCAAGGCCCTTACCTAATAGGAAAAATCTTTTGATTTACTATTTACTGGATGTTTATTTCTAATTCTTTCTATTCCTTGAAATCCATTTTGGAAAATTACCTTCAAAACCACAATTTATAATCAATAACCAAACTTAGGGCTGAGTTTGGTTGTTTGCTTGCATACATGTTGTTACACAATTAGGTGCTAATGTTAACTGATATTACCTAATCAGGTTATTTGCTTGCGTAAGCAAGCTTACGAATCAAGCTACCATATATTCTCTTGTAACGGGATTCATGTTTCTGTTGATATTTATTTTTACTCTATTTATATACTCTATTTATATATGCATATAAATGGGCCTAATGGTGTTCTTGCTCAACCAAAAATCAACATATAATTAAAAATCAAATAAAAAACGAACGGGTATAGCTGGCACAATAAACATTAGCCAGCAACTAGCCAAGCCTTCTGGTGTTCCAAAAAGAAAAAGTTGAACTGCAAGAGAACTGTGTCTATGATTTATGAATCCATGTAACTGTTGAACACAAACATTTTAAGAAAAAAGTGTGGATATTAAATTTCTCGGATATCATAATTTAGTGCCTCATAAAAGCAATAAGCAGCCCTCCTCCGAGTGCAAAATCCCTATTCAGCATAGCAGACAAACGCTGCCGCACTACTTTGCCACCCAGGCAAAGAAAAAATGCCCGGATCAAGCCTAATAAGGAGACGTCAGGATGGACAGTGGGCGGATTAATAGCACGTATGCAACGCCCGCTTGGGTTCCTCCTACTGATCCGGGAGGACGCGCGCGAGGTTCTCAGCTCGATTTGCCGCTTATCTGGGCCTTTCCCCAAAATGCAGGTTAGCCAGATTTGACCATTTTGTCCCCAAGAAGAGGAAAGTCTCGCGTGCTTCCCTAATAGGGGCGGGATTTCGACGGAGGGTTAGCTGCCGGGGAGGTGGGAATCAGGAAGAATGGCTTGGTTAGCTGGGTTTCTGCTTGATGGGTGGTGCGATTTAGCGTTGTATTTCTCAGGCTTGGCAGCTTGAAAATATGTGGACTTCAACTCTGGGAATTGAAGTCCACAGATTTACAAATTGCCAAGCTTGAGAAACACTGGAGCAGGCTACACGTGGTGACTTTCCTGGCCATGAAGGGAAGGCGGTCCAAGTTTCTTTTCGCTTGCTGAGTGTTCGTTCAGCGCATTCTCCGAGACCGTTTTTCCGGGTACTGTGGATGGGTGTACAGAAGTGAGAGTATGTATTTAGAGTGCGAGAGCACTTATGATGTTACCTAGTTTGGATAATGAAATGTCTGCAAGCAAGCAACCAAGCTCAGAGGGCACCAAGGACCCCTCATTTCAATCCTGAACTGCAAATATTCTCCTTTATTAGTGTATATTCTTCCGAGTTCTCCTAAGTTCTTGCAATAATTGCTCCTTTACTTGGAGGAGTAGAAAGAATAAACTCTGGTTTGTTTTGGTTTAGCTGCCTTCCCATTGTAAATAATAGCGAAGGGAAAAGCTGAAAATTATAGCCAGATTGTAGAGAAGATGGATTGGGTGCCTAAACCCACAAACATCACCGTGCTCTTGGGATAATGTAATTTTAATCTTACATAATGACTTTAAAATTGCAAAGTATAATTAGTAAAATGATGATCCTTTAAAGAAAAGATGATAGCAACAGAACTTACTCCACTATTCCCAGTGCTGTTTCTTAATAAGATAAATTATTATTTAGCAAATTTATATAGCTGCTCATCTCACAAATTAACTCTGGGCAGCATACAACAAAACAGTTTAAAACAAATATTAACAAGTAAAAACAAGTAAACATAAATAGAAGTTAGACTGTGGGAAAATGGACCAATATTCTAAACACAATATTTTTTTATTTGTAAAATTTATTAGCCGCCCATCTTATCACATGGTAACTCTGGGAGGCTTACAATATTAGAAGATAAAACTGTATAAAACATACTATAAATATAATACTATAAAAAAATCTACCTAAAAAGATGGGGAGGGAGGGAATATGATGAGAAAGGGGGTGGGATCTGTTAATCTATGAACTACCCCCAATGTGAAACCCTTCATTGGAGTCCCAGGTCAACTAGCAGAACCAGGTCTTTAAGCTCTATCAGAAGGTAAAGAGGGTTAGAGCTGATCTCAGTATGGGGGAGGGGGAGCTGATGGGGTTCACAGCATGCCTCTGCCGGCACGGGTGGGGCAGGCCAATCCCAGTGAGATGAGATGGGCCTTCAGGTAGCTAATATCTTCTCCCAGGCTCCCTGTCACATATTGCATGGACCAATTGCAAAATATTATTTGCTGGTTACCTTATGGTTCAGACTACAGCAGTGGTTCTCAACCTGTGGGTCGGGACCCCATTTGGGGTCGAATGACCATTTCACGGGGGTCGACAAACAACGCAGTCTGCCATTTTTTCCCCCTTTTCCTTAGCTGTGCTACTCCCTTTTATTCTATTGGCTTTTGAAAGCCAATAGAATAGACTCTCTTGAATAGAGTCTAATTCTATTGGCTTTCAAAAGCCAATAGGAATTGTCCAGGCTGTCTCTGCCCTGCTGAGCCCACCAAAAGTCCCATTCTGCAAACGGTGCTGCACCAGTTGAGTAGTCCTCGACTTACGACCGGTTGAGTAGTCCTCGACTTAACGACCAGTTGGGGGTCACGGCATTAAAAAAGTTGAGAACCACTGGACTACAGTGATGCAGTGAACTAGAACCTTATCTCATAGCACAAGAAGAAGGGCAGTGCCTGTATTGTGCCTTTCTGTATCTCCAGTCCCAGGTCTTTTTCATGCTGTGAAGCTTTAAGCTCTGCACCATATGGAGTATTTTCTGCAGTAAAGGACACTCGCCCCCCCAAATTCTCATTTTTGATGTAAAGAGAACCAAAGTGGACCTATGCTACAATCTTTCCCCTGCCCATTGTAACAGAAAAATTCATACTATTCACAAACGGCTTCTAATTTATATTTTGAACCCCTAAATCAGGGGTGTAAAACTGCCGGCCTGTGGGCCGGACGTGTCACGATGAAACTGCGCCCACCCCATTGCTGGCAATGGGGAAAAAGCTCTGATGTGTCGCACGATGTCACATGATGTCGCACGTTTGACATGTCTGCCCTAAATAAAGCTAACCATTACAAGTTTTATACATAAAAAGGTTGTAAGTAACTTGCAGAAACAATCCTTTCTTAGATAAACATGACTGTTTTGTGCAAAATTGAGAGACCTGATGCTTCCATTACAAGGGACCTCGGAGTCCTAGTGGACAATCACCTAAATATGAGCCAGCAGTGTACTGCAACTGCCAAAAAAGCCAACACAGTGCTAGGCTGCATTAACAGAGGGATAGAATCAAGATCACGTGAAGTGTTAATACCACTTTACAATGCCTTGGTAAGGCCACACTTGGAATACTGCATCCAGTTTTGGTCACCGCGATATAAAAAAGATGTTGAGACTCTAGAAAGAGTACAGAGAAGAGCAACAAAGATGATTAGGGGACTGGAGGCTAAAACATATAAGGAACGGTTGCTGAAATTGGGTATGTCTAGTTTAATGAAGAGAAGGACGAGGGGGGGACATGAAAGCAGTGTTCCAATATCTCAGGGGCTGCCACAAAGAAGAGGGTGTCAAGCTATTTTCCAAAGCGCTTGAAGGCAGGACAAGAAGCAATGGGTGGAAACTAAGCGAGGAGAGAAGCAACCTAGAACTAAGGAGAAACTTCCTGACAGTTAAAACAATTAACCAGTGGAACAACCTGCCTCCGGAAGCGGTGAATGCTCCAACACTGGAGGTTTTTAAGAAGAGACTGGACAGCCATTTGTCCGAAATGGTATAGGGTTTCCTGCCTGAGCACGGGGTTGGACTAGATGACCTCCAAGGTCCCTTCCAACTTTACTATTATTATTATTAAGTACTGGTAACTTTATACTTAGTGGGGAGTAGTGTGTGAAAGTTTTATACCTTTTAAAGTTATATTTGTGTCCAAAAACAGACTTGTTGACTTTAATTAATGCACAGTGTTTTTCAACATGATAAACTTGAACCCACTTTATTTGGCTTAGCATTACAAGCAGACTAGTTCATTAACATTTAATTAAAATACTGACTTAACACTTTAACTGCCTACATAATCAAACTTGGGAAGGAAACTTGGAAGGAGACATGAGAGCTTTCAGCAAAGGGCTGTTCAGCCATTCAGAAGTTGGTTTTTTTTTCACATTTTTATTGATTTATCAAAATATAAAATACAAAGAAAAATAGAAAACTGGAGGAAATGGAAAGAAAAGAGAAGGAAAAAGAAAGAAAAAGACATTGACTTCCAACTCTCCTTAGTACAGTAGAAGATAATAACATTACAACCTCAACCTTTTACTTCTACCTAATAGTATATTGTGTGTATACTAGCCATTTTTATAGCAACAAATCTTTCTAATCAGCAAAAACAAAATCAAAGTTTCCATTCCCCCCCCCCCAAGCATAACATCTGGAAGCAATTTCCAGATAGAAACAAAATTAAATATATTCTCTCCTTTGGATGAAGGAATCAATTTAACCATTTCTGCTTTTCCATTCAGAGGTTGTGAGCAGCTCTCTCACTTGAGTTTATTCTTGGATCTGTAATATCTCATCCCAGCATCTTTTGTTATGATAATACACTTGATTGTAGTTGAAAGTCCAAGAAACTTTTATTTAATGTCAATTCTTATAAGCCAAAGTCCATCTCTTGTTGCTGTTCAGTGTTTTGCTCAGTCATACTGTTACATAAAAGGATGTCCCAGAATTGATTTGTTCATTTTCTTTTTTGTGTGTTTTCATACAGTCTTTCCTTCTGGTATTATCTCTTGAATTTTACTTTATTGTTATTTGGCTGGTCAAGAAGAAGAGCATGTGTTAGTTTTCTGCTGCTCTTTTGATTCCATAAGAAAGAAATGCCATGAAATGATTAAGCTATTTGATTCCCGTCTATTCCATGCTTAATGCATTTTTTAGCCACTACTGTATTGTGATTTTGCTGGCATAATGATGGTGTGGTCCCTTACATTGCTGTGTCTTTATGATCTTTCATATGCAAATATTTAGATGTTACTGAAAACACAACTATTGTTTGAAAAATATTGCTGTTTTTATATCTTACTAAAGGCATATATTTGTACTGCAGTTTTACTGTTTTTACCTATTGGCTGCTTTTCTATGGTTTTTAGTTTATCTTTTTTTTTCTTATGGAAGCAAGCTTGGATGTTTACTCAGACACAAGAAAAGCTCCTCTGGGTTCAACTGAATTGCCTCCCTTATTGTTTCTCTTTAAAGAGTACTATAGGATTAGTTTAAATGTTTTATTAACCATGCTCTGTATCTGCAGAAATGGAAATTGGGTTGTAATTATAAGGTTTGGCATTCCTTCTTGCCAGCAATCCACCATGCTTTTCAAAGGATTTTTCAAACTCTGTAGTAAAGCTGGTACAGTCTTAATATGCAGGGAATCGGAATAAGGTTGTCACGCTGGCATCTGATGCTCTTATCATTTTATGTTCTAGGATCCTAATGCAGATACAGAATGGAATGACATCTTGCGTAAAAAAGGCATCCTTCCTCCCAAAGAAAAGCTGAAAGAGCAAGAGCAGGCAGAAGAAGAAAGGGAGCAGCAGATCCTCCAGCAACAATCAGTTGGCAAGCAATCTTGTTTAGAATGCTGAATTAATATGGAACTCTTATTACCCAGGTTGCTGGGTAATCACCTCAAAATATAGGCGCCTTCTCACTGCAAACAAGGACCTTGTTAACTTCAGTGAGCCTTGTGTACTCATTGTATTTTGGGTTTTGCATGTCTTGGGTGAAAAGGTTTCAAAATTAATTCTTGTACTTGAAAAGCAAAGATCAGGAGAAATATTCAGAACTGTTTGTGTTTCTGATGACTGGTTAAACTCAGTCTACACTGTAGGTTGGGATTTAGTTCTCAGGATATATAATTGGTAGACTTTGATGTATACATATAATTTTCATGAAATACAGGTAATCCTCAATTTATGACTGTAATTAAGCCCAGAATGAGAGTGCTAAGTCATGCTGGTTATCAAGCCGGTCACCATATAATCACACCCCAGTTTACATCCTTTTTTGTGATGGTTATTAAGTGAATCACCATAGTCACTAAGTGAACACCACGGTATTTAAGAGAATGCTGTGTTCGCTAAATCAATCCATTGTCTGCAATTAACCCTTTTTTCTTGAAATAGGAAGTAAATGCCAGGTTTTGGCCAAAAAAAAAAAAAAAGACTCTGTAAACAACCATAAATTCAGACCAGTTTCTGAGTGCCCAAAATATGATCACATGACCTGGGAAGTGGTCATTAGAACTTCAAATCTAGGTCATAATTAGTCTTGGGAAAGTTTGTTGGAATTTCAGATGGTTGCTAAACAATCAGTTGTAAGTTGAAGAGTACCTGTATAAAATTAACAAGGTACCCTTATCATATAAATTATTTTTATATACTTCTGGTCTTTTTATAAGTAAGACATTTGGCAACTACTGTAGATTATAATTTGTTTTTAGTTCAAATCGAACAGCTCTTGAGAACTACCCTCGAGAAAGTCAGAGAAAGAATATTGTTTTGTAAACAATACCCTTTGACTGTATATCATCCTGTGTTGGTTTCAAAAAGTCATTACAATCTTAAAAACATGCTCCTATGTCAACAGTAATGAGTAATCTAGAATTCCAGAGATTCTGTTACTTGAAAAAGGCTTGCTTATTTATTTATTTATTCATTCATTCATTCATTCATTCATTCATTCATTCATTAAATTTATATGCCACCTTTCTCACTCTTGGAGCGACTCTGGATGGCTTACAAAATGATAAAAAGATTAAAATAAGAACAATTATAATTAATAAGAATTAAATAGAGAATATAAACCAAGGGGACCAATAGCACAGGACTGCAGTCTTCACACTTACCTCATCATCTACCACCAGTATAAAGTGCCCCCTCTATAACAGCTTTTCAAACCTGGCATGTTTCAAACTAAGGAGAGTAACATATTTAGGAAATCTGCCTTAGATCAACTAATAACTGGTAAGGTTGTTCATGGGACTGGAGAGATGGCCTTAGCATGTGATCAGCAGTAAGAATATTGTTTTTGAACACATTTGCTTGATTCATGGGGTGCTCTTTTCAGAGTTAAAAATTCTTTTATTGAGCAAGATTGTTCCCCTTGGCAAGAATTATAATTGCCTTTCTTATTACATGTCATTTAAAAAAGAAGCAGATGATTGCTTTTTAAAATAAGAATTGGCTCAGTAGGAGCAGTAGCCTTATAGCATATGAATACTTCCAGCGAGTTATTTGCAGGAGCAGAGTTAATGAAATGGCATCATTCTGAGGGCAATAACAATTAGGTTCAAGTCTATATAGAAGTGATTCACTTTCCTTCTGCACAAGTATTAATTCCGCTCTACAATGCCTTGGTAAGGCCACACTTGGAATACTGCATCCAGTTTTGGTCACCACGATGTAAAAAAGATGTTGAGACTCTAGAAAGAGTACAGAGACGAGTAACAAAGATGATTAGGGGACTGGAGGCTAAAACATATAAGGAACGGTTGCTAGAATTGGGTATGTCTAGTTTAACGAAGAGAAGGACAAGGGGGGACATGATAGCAGTATTCCAATATCTCAGGGCTGCCATAAAGAAGAGGGAATTAAGCTATTTTCCAAAGCACCTGAAGGCAGGACAAGAAGCAACGGGTGGAAACTAATCAAGGAGAGAAGCAACCTAGAACTAAGGAGAAACTTCCTGACAGTTAGAACAATTAACTAGTGGAACAACCTGCCTCCAGAAGCAGTAAATGCTCCAACACTGGAAGTTTTTAAGAAGAGACTGGACAGCCATTTGTCTGAAATGGTGTAGGGTTTCCTGCCTGAGCACGGGGTTGGACTAGACGACCTCCAAGGTCCCTTCCAACTTTACTACTACTATTATTACTATTATTAAGTTTGTTATAGACATGAACGTCTAGTCAAGAAAACTGTGCCTAATTTAATGAACCATCATTTTCACAGCATGGTCTATACCAGGGTTTCCTAGCCTTAGCAACTTTAAAATGCATGGACTTCAATCCCCAGAATTCCCAAACCAGCAAATCTACAGGTCTTAAAGTTGCCAAGGCTGGAAAACCCTGCTCTACACTATCTAGTACAAAGTTTCTTAATGAAGTTCACCTATAAGCTGACAGGGAAGGATCTGTTGCTGCCCTGGTTTTTGGACCACCTCCCTTGCAGAGATGAGCCTGGCATAGCTAGTAACATTTTTAAAAGCCTTAAACCATTTTTGGTTATTTAAACTATTGTTTAATATTACTGTTTTTTATTGGATTCTGTTGGCAGCTTTGACTTATACCCAATTTAAATAAATAATATTAGATAAGGGTAAAATACATAAGATGAAACTAAGTACATTGAGTCCACTCCTCCTCCTGCCTAGCCTTTGTGCTTTCTGACTTCCTGAAATAATGTTCATACTACCTGGATCCATGCTAGATCAGAACCCTAGATGGTATGAACTCTAAAGCGCACTCAATAGCAGAGAAATAAAATTCTGCTTTAGGGCTTTTTGTTTTTTGCAGAGGCTGAGAGAACAACAGATAGTACAGGAAGAATGCAAAATTATGCTAGCTAAGGGACAAGATTTAGTTCTCTACATGTGTTAGCTCTCTGAAACTCATTAGAAACTCACAAAGAGGACTATTATTTATTTCTACCAGTCAAAGGTCTATGGAGCAAAAGTTTTCTTGACATAACATGCAAGCTGTTTTTAAATGGCTTCTATTCATAAAATTTACATAATTTACATTCAAAAGAGATTTTTTGCGTAATTCTGTATAGTCTATGGTCTGAAATTTGTCCTTGGTAAGAGTTACCAAACTCTTGTTTGTACTGATGACCCTGTATTTGTCCCATATCAGTTAAGACCTATGAAGATATGACTCTGGAGGAACTTGAAGAAAATGAAGATGAATTCAATGAGGAAGATGAACGTGCTGTAGAAATGTACAGGTTAGAATATTCTGTTGAAAGTGCCATAAATAAAGATATAGTTGTAATTGGAAATTATTGTTGATATTATAAGATATGGTAAAGAACTCTGGATAAACTTTCCAGTTTTAGGCACGTCAAGCCTTCCTCTATAACAGTGATGGCGAACCTTTTAGAGACCGAGTGGCCAAACTGCAACCCAAACCCCATTTATTTATCATTGGGTGCCAGATGGGCATGGCCCACTGGGTGGGCGTGGGTGGTATGGGCTTGGCCTACTGGATGGGCATGGCCAGCTCGACGTCACTTGCATCAGGGGCACTTGTGCAGGCCTGGGCAGGATTGGGGCGGATCTGAGAGTCTCTGGCAGAGGGGGGCTGGGACTGGGGTGAAGACCGGGGCATGGTCCACTGGAGGAGCCTCACTGAGCCTCAGGCCATGCAGGGGGCCCTGGACGGTAGCACGGACTGCCTGGAGCCCTGGGCAGTGGAGGTCAAGCGCCCAGCCTGGCCCTTGAGCTCCCATGGCACCAGGACCCCACAGCCCTACCTCCCTAGCCGCACTTCCCCGAGGGGGTACCCAGCTGTGTTTAGCTCCCCCTCAAGGCTACTACTTCTGTGCTCGCTTTCCTTGGCCAGGTTGCTCATGGTGGGTGCAGGAGGGCAAAGTGCGTGGGTCAGAGGGAGGCCCACTCCCTCTCCATGCGAGAAGACCTGGCTTTGTAACCAAAGCATCCTCAGCAATAGAATGAGAGACTACCAGGGGATGGCGAAAGGGCAACAGGGCTGCTGGTGGCCAAGTGCTAAGGCAGGTCTTCCCTCAGACCTTCCCTCCCTCTTATTCCAATCTCCTCCCTCCCTCCCTCCCTCCCTCCCTCCCTCCCTTTCATTCCCATCTCCTTCCTTCTTTCCTTCCCTTTCTTTCTTCCGGTTTCCCTCCCCTCCTTTGTTCTCTCCCTCCCTCTGTGCCCAGGAAGGGACAAGAGGAGGGGGAGAGGTTGGCAGTGCTTCTCTCAAAGAGTAAGAGAGTTGGAAGAGACCTTTGATGTCTTTAGTCCAAGCTCCTGCTCAAGCAGGGGACGTGTACCATTCCAGACAATGGAATATCCAATCTCTACTTAAAAGCCTCCAGTGATGGAGCATCCACAACTTCTGAAGGCAAGCCTTTTCACTGGTTAGTTGTTTTCACAAGTCCTACGTTCTAGGCTGGTTTTCTTCTTGATTAGTTTCCATCTATTATTGCCTTCTGATGCTTTGGAAAATAGGTTGACCCCTTCTTCTCTATGGCAACCATCAAATATTAGAACATTGCTATCATGTCACCACCCCTAGTCCTTTTCACTAAGCTAGACACACTCAATTCCCACAAACATTTGTCATATGTTTTAGCCTCCAGCTCCCTAATCACCTATGTTTACCATCCATTTAGACGAGATGGTCCCCCTGGTTTGGTTTATAAAACAGTGGCCATGAGCAGAGCCTTCTCAGAGACAGCGCCCCAATTATAGAACTTTCTTCCAAGGAAAAAATGAACAGTGTATCCCTCACCTGTTTAGAGGCAACTCCAAACACTGTTCAGCCAGGCATATGTAGAACAACACCACATTTCATGGTCAAACAGCACTAAGTAAATTACTAGTAATGTTTTTCTTTCTTAAAATACACACTTGTAATATTAAGCAGTGCTGGTGATGCTTTACAATAGCTGTCTTTGAGATTGTTTTTGTAAACCACCTTGGATTTCTCAGAAACATTTAATTTCGAAGGGGGTGAGGGAAGAGATGATATTGAAGGGGTGGGGGAAGAGATAATATTGAAGGGTGGGGGAAGAGATGATATTAAAGGGGGTGGAGGAAGAGATGATATTGAAGGGGTGGGGGAAGAGATGATATTGAAGAAGTGGGGGAAGAGATGATATTGAAGGGGTGGGGAAGAGATAATATTGAAGGGGTGGGGAAAGAGATGATATTGAAGGGGGTGGGGGAAGAGATGATATTAAAGGATGGGGAAGAGACGATTTTAAAGGGGATGGGGAAGAGATGATTTTAAAGGGGGTGGGGGAAGTGTGTGTGTCTGTGAGACAGAGAGAGATCCCCATTTTGTAAGTTTGCTTACTCTGCTTTCCTTTCCCTGGAGGCCTGGAAAATGCTTCTGTTGCCCGGATCTAGGGCTGCAGAGCGATTTCACACCCCCTCCCCATGGCCAATCCAGGCGGCAGAAGCGTTTTCCAAGCCTCTGGAGCCTGGATCGGGCCTCTGGCTCACTGCAAAATCGCCTCGTGACCATGGATGCAAGCTCCGGAGGCCTGGAAAATGCTTCTGCCGTCCGGATCTAGGGCTGCAGAGCAATTTCACCCACCCCCCCCACGGCCAATCCGGACGGCAGAAGCATTTTCCAGGCCTGTATTGTATCTCCCATGGCTCATCATCAGTTAATCTGGCATACAAGGGTTTAGTTAAATTGGCATAATTATTTATCCATAAGCTGCAATAGCCCACTAATCCCAAAAAATTTCTTAATTCTTTCTTATCTATAGGTAGCTGTGGTTTAGCTATTCCATCTATTCGTTCCACCGTTATTTTTCTGCTTCCTTCACTAATTAAGTGTCCTAAATACTTTACTTCCTTTTCTACATATTGCAATTTCTTCTTAGATACTCTTACTCCTTGTTCTACTAAGAAATTCAGCAGCTTTTCAGTGGCCAGTATTACCTCCTGTTGCTTCTCTCCAGACAACAGTAAATCACCCACATATTGAATCAAATAAATCCCTCTTGGGATTTCAAATTTTTCCAGCACTTGTTCCAATATTTGACCGAATAAATTGGGAGATTTAGTAAATCCTTGAGGTAACACTGTCCATTGATATTGTTGTTTTCTGCCAGTAAATGAGTTTTCCTATTCAAAAGCAAAAAGGGGCCTTGACTCTTTATCCATCTTTAAGCATCTTTTAGATCTATCACACTGAACCACTTATGTTTAGGTGGAATATATCCCATTAAAGTATGTGGATTAGGAACAACTGGATGCCTAATCCTTACAATTCTACTCAAGAGCCTAAGGTCCTGTACCATTCTGAAGGTTCCATCTGGTTTTCTTACTGACAGAATGGGAGTGTTGAAGGGAGACATAGTTGGCTCTAAAAGTCCATCTTCAATCAATTGGTCGATGACGGGTTGCAATCCTCTCCTCCCTTCCATTGAAATGGAGTATTGTTTTTGTTGCACTACTTCTCCTGGTGTTTTAAGTTCTATTTTCAAAGGGGGAACTCTAAGTCCTCCTCTGTTTCCTTCTCTTATCATACTTTGGATTGTATTCTTTTTTCATCTTCCTCTGTTCTCTTGTCCAAATGTTATGCTTAAGCCGAGAGCATTTAAGGCATCTCTTCCTAACAAATTCACACTGCCTCTGGTATATATATATAACATTTCTATTTCCATTCCCCACTATTTATTTTTTTTCTTAATCTGTAATAATTTTGATTTCCGTATTGAAAGCCTTCCCCTTTTACCCCTGACACTCTAATTGTTTGTTCACTTAGTTGCATCTGAGGGCTTAATGTGGACACAGAAGTGTGCGCTGCTCCAGTATCCACTAAAACACTATCTCTTCTCTATCGGGTCCCACTTCTAAATTTATCAAGGGCTCATCGTGGGACCTTAAAGTAAATTGCCCCTGACACCCCTAAAATTGACTTTCATTGTCCTCCATTAATTTACACACTTGCTGATCCTTCTGCACTTTCTTAAAGTGTCCTTTCTGTCCACACTCAAAACATGCTCTTTCTCTGAATCCCGTTCCAAAACTTCCTATACCTCTTCCATTTGGATATCGATACTGTTCTCCTTCATTTCCAAAACTTCCACTCCCCCTGCCACAAGGGACTTGAGGTGGGGCGGTCCATCTGAGATCTTTCAGGTTGCCTCTTTAAGAGTTCATTTACTGTTGTAACCATCATTCTTCCTTTTTGTTTCGCCATTTTATTATCTCTCTGCACATATATTTTCTGCGCTTCTTTCAGTAAATCATCAATCTACCTCCCTGTCCAGTTATCCAACTTCTGTAACTTCTTTCCGATGGATGTCTGGCCAAGATTTAGTAACAAATTGCACCCTAACTAGTGGTACATTTGCAGCTTCATCCAGATCCATTCCGGACCACTTCTGCATGCCATCTTTAAGTCTTTGTAAAAAGGCAGCATGGGATTCCTCTTTTTCTTGCTCTATTTGTAGTGCTTTTGACATATTCTGTGTCTTTGGCAAAGCTTCCCTCATTCCCTGTATAATCATAATTCTTAGATCTTCCATATTCTGTCTATCTACTGGATTATTATTATTTTTTTTTTTTATTGAAATTTTTCAAAAGTTTTACAAATAAAAATCCACCCCCCCCTCCCCAACCACCCCACCCCCCCCCCGACTTCCCAGAACTGAATATAGGATTATTTAACAAATATTTTAAAAATAACATTTGCAATTTATAAAATAATTAATAATAATAATAAAAATCACAGTAATAATATATATAATAATAATATACATAACATAAACTTTAAAATGAATAATATATACTAAAAAAGAAAAAAAAAAAAAATAAAAAGAGAAGAGAGAGAGAGAAAGAAGAAAGAAGAAAGTAGACGAAGAATAAAGCATATATATATAAAAAAAAAATATATGAATAATAATACATAAAAAATGTATATATATAAAAAAGAAAAAGAAGAAAGAAAGAAAGAAAAAACAATCATTACAAATTATAAAAAGGCTAAATAATATTTTTCCATATCCAAATTATGTTGTATAAAATTTATCCATTTTTCCCATACCGCAAAAAATTTTTCTTGAGATTGCTCCTTTAAGAAAGCCGAAATCTTTGCCATTTCTGCCAAATACGAAACTTTATGAAACCATTCTTGTAAAGTAGGCAAAGATTCCTTCTTCCAATATTGTCCTATTAACAACCTAGCGGCTGTAATCAAATTTAACATCAATATAACCTCCTTAGCATCACAGTCAATAACAAT